GATGTAATCTTCTCAGTGCATCATATCACATTATATCAGGAGGTACAACATGATATTGACATGTCTTTTTCTTAGTAATTTTAACCTTGATCATTTGGTTCAGGTGATATCAACTAGATTTCTGTACTGTAAAATTACTTTTTTCCCTCTGTTTGTATTTAATACATATTTTGTGGGAGATACTTTGAGGCTCCATAAATATCCTGTTTCTTCTTAAAGTTTTTTTTTTTTTTTTTTTTTTTTTTGAGACGGAGTCTTGGTCTGTCACCCAGGCTGGAGTGCAGTGGCATGATCTCGGCTCACTGCAAGCTCTGCCTCCCGGGTTCATGCCATTCTCCTGCCTCAGCCTCCCAAGTAACTGGGACTACAGGCACCCGCCACCATGCCCGGCTAATTTTTTGTATTTTTACTAGAGATGGGATTTCACTGTGTTAGCCAGGATGGTCTCAATCTCCTGACCTCGTGATCCGCCCACCTCAGCCTCCCAAAGTGCTGAGATTACAGGTGTGAGCCACCGCGCCCGGCCTCTTCTTAAAGTTTTTAACAAATGTTAGCAGTCATTTGTGGATCTTACTTGCAACAATTAATTGTGGTTTTCTAATGGTGATTTTTATATTTCTCTAATTTCTTCTACATTTATTAATTGGAATTCTACTGTAGAGTCATTCCTTCTTCCTCATCTATTTATTCAATCATTTATTCATTATCAGTGTAGGCAGGTGTAATTTGTTTTATTCTTTTGGTTATAACAGAATATTATCATTATTTATTTTGTTGCTCAGATTGTTCCAGCTTTGGCATGGGGAGCTCTGTCAGGTTGGCTCCTGTGTCTTTTTGGAATGTCCCCATTTTATTCATGTATTTATTTATTTATTTAGAGACAGAGCTTTACACTTGTTGCCCAGGCTGGGGCACAATGGCACCATCTCAGCTCACTGCAACCTCTGCCTCCTGGGTTCAAGTGATTTTCTTGCCTCAGCCTCCCCGAGTAGCTGGGATATTAGGTGCCTGCCACCACGTCTGGCCAATTTTTTCTATTTTTAGTAGAGATAGGGTTTCTCCATGTTGGTCAGGCTGGTCTCAAACTCCTGACCTCAGGTGATCTCCCTGCCTCAGCCTCCCAAAGTGCTGGGATTACAGGCGTGAGCCACCTGCGCCCAGCCCATTTTTATTCATATTTAATTTAGTACGTCCTTACTCTGTATCTTGTATTTTGCCTGCCCTAGCCCTGGATTCAATCACTTCTCTAAAAGCCCTGAATCCTTTCATTAGAGAATGGTATTTAGAAACCAAGATCTGGGTGCGAAGTCTTCTGTGTGTCAGATCCTGTCAGCAAAGACATATATATGCATATGTACTAACCTATGTAGACACACATATTTATATTTCTGTATCCGTGTATCTGTATCTATAGTTTTAAAAGTATGAATTTATGCTCATATGTTGTTTTTAAAATTTTAAAAATTATTTGTTTAGAGACAGGGTCTCACTTTGTTGTCCAGGTTGGAGTGCTGTGGTGCAATCATGGCTCACTGCAGCCTCAAACTTCTGGGCTCAGGTGATCCTTCTGCCTCAGTCTCCCAAGTAGCTAGGACTACAGGTACATGCCACCATGCCTGGCTATTTTATTTCAGTTTTTATAGAGACTGGGTCTTGCTGTGTTGCACAAGTTTGTTTCAAACTTTTGGCCTCAAGCAATCCTCCTTCCTCAGCCTCCCAAAATGTTGGGATCATAGGGGTGAACCATCGTGCCTGGCCTTGGTACCTTATTTTGAGAGCCCCTAGCTAAACTGGGGTTCCAGTACCAGAGTCGCTAGCAACCCTACCCCAACAGGATATGAAGGGGAGATGGATGTGGGTGTTTACAGTGTGCCTTTCACGGGATACTTCTTTTACCTGGAGGATGGCCTAAGGCCTAGTTGCCTGACCTGACTTGGGGGTCTCTCACATGGGAAACTTGTTTACACTGGCAGGTGCCCTGTGGCTCTTGTCTGATCTGTGTGAAGTTTGTACCTGCCTGATCATCACTTTGGCACCGGGAGTTCAACCTTGTGCTCTCCGTGGTGCCCCCTGGTTCTTCAGATGGAAAGCACAAATTCAGTACATCACCACAACAGGAAGTAAGTTCAACGATTTTCACTTACAGATCCTGGGCAAGGAGGGCATAATGAGTCAGGAGGGCAGTCCTCTGTCCCCGGGTCATATAAGGCAGAAAGGAAGAGCCAGAGAGAAAGTGTGTCTAGCAGCATGTCTAAGGGAATGGAGTATGGGCCACTTTAACAAGCAAATGTCTAAATGGTCCATTTAAAGAGAGGCAGGAGAGCAGGGAGCCCAGTCTGCTAGGCAGGAGAGATCCATCCAAGTTCTTTTCGCTGGCCACCAGCTTGAGCCCTCTAGGTGCAATGTAGAACTGGAAATTGTGCCAAAGATGACTGAGCCCTGCTTTTGGCATGAGAAAGTTAAACTTACATTCAAAATGGATGCTGAGCAACATAAAATTATAAGAATTCTCTATATATCTCCCACATCAATCCAGCACCACAAGTTTTATTCTAGTATTCCCCCTTTCTGGGAAAGGCAAAATAATAGAAACAAAATCCAGAGGAGTGGTTGCTCAGGGCTGTATGAAGGAATTTTTGGTATGATAGGGCTGTTCTGCATGGTACAATAGTGGTGGGTATACAATGCTATGCATATGTCAACACCTACACAATTCTACAAAGAGTGAATTTACTGTATGCAAGTAAGAAAAACATCCAGGATGTTGGAAGAATCCAACGTGGGATACAGATTGTGACAAATGAATCTAACCGTGTTAAAATGAGTAAACTTGGTAAACTATCACTCCTGTAATCTTAGCGACTCAGGAGGCTGAGATGGGAAAGTGGTTTGAGGCCAGTGGTTCCAGTCTAGCCTGGGCAACACAGTGAGATCCCATCTCTAAAAAAGAAAAAAGAAAGAAAAATAAAAAAGCCGGGCATTGTGGTGCATGCCTCTAGTCCCAGATACTGGGAGACTGAGGTGGGAGGATCTCTTGAGCCCAGGAGTTCAAGCCTGCACTGAGCTATGATTGTGCCATTGCACCCCAGCCTGGGTGATAAAGTTAGACCCCCAACTCTTAAAAACAAAACAAAAACCCACCACAGTGAAGGTGGTAGAAAGGAAGGAACTGGCCTTAGTAATTTTGGAAAACTGTGTGTTGACTGAATAAGTAAGATTGGGCATGAAAAGAATGATAAAAATGCTGTACCTTAGTTGGCAAATTTGTTTCTCCTAAGTATGTGGATTAGCAATTCTGAAGCGAATTTTCATGTATATGAGAGTTAAATTAGTGCATGCATTGTGGCTCATGAGTGTCAGTTTTCTCAATGTCAAGATTCAAACATTTTGAGAATTTTTATATTAAAAATTTACAGGGATATAAAAACTAAATCACAGTTATACATTTAATTGATCATTTTTATTGTAAAGGGTAAATTACATGAAATTGACAATATTTAGTACATGTAATATCTATCAAAATACATACATGTAAATGTGTGTATATTTATATATGTTTACGGTACAGTTTTCGCAAAAAGCTTCAACATTCATAAGAAACACAGACATAGTTACTCTGGTGCAACACGGATTTAAAATAAGGCCATGGTAATCCTCCCTGATGCCAATTTTAAAATGAAGACTGTCTAAATTTTTCTGACCAGTTATTAGATGCCCTGCCTCTCCCAAATGTGTTTAAACTTTTCTTTCGATTATTTGATACCTTTGGCCCAAGAGATTACTATCTCTCTCTTTTTTTTTTAAACCGGGTCTCGCTTTGTCATTCAGGCTGGAGTGCAATGGCACGATGCCTGATCGCTGCAACCTCTGCCCCCTGGGCTCAAGCGATCTTCCCACCTCAGCCTCCCCAGTAGCTTGGACCACAGGCACACATCACCAAGTGCAGATTTTTTTTTTTTTTTTTGGTATTTTTAGTAGAGACGGGGTCTTGCCATGTTACCCAGGCTGGCCTTGAATTCCTGAGCTCAAACGATCCACCTGCCTCAGCCTCCCAAAGTGCTGGGATTACAGGTGTGAGCCAGAATGCCCGGCCTGAGATTACTGTCTAATAAGTTTCATAAGTTTTTCCATTGAGGAAAGTGATGCTTTCTTTGATTTCCTCTAAATTTACTTCTCCACATTTGAAAGGAGACTCTTCTTTTCCTTAGAACTTGAAGATACAGTGTGAAAGGGCATTTTTCTTTCTTATATTATTAAAAAAGTTATTTTTTAAAAAATAACAATTTTATTTATTATTTTATTTATTTATTTCTCGTGAGATGGAGTCTTGCTCTGTTGCCAGGCTGGAGTGTAGTGTTGCAATCTCAGCTCACTGCAACCTCCGCCTCCAGGGTTCAAGTGATTCTCCTGCCTCAGCCTCCTGAGTAGCTGGGACTACAGGTGCACGCCACCACCCCCAGCTAATTTTTGTGTTTTTAGTAGAGACAGGGTTTTACCATGTTGGCCAGGATGGTCTCAATCTTTTGACCTCGTGATCTGCCTGCCTTGGCCTCCCAAAGTGCTGGGATTACAGGTGTGAGCCACCATGCCCAGTCAACATTTTAATATTTTATATAGAGATGGGGTCTTGCTACATTGCCCAGGCTGGTCTCAAACTCCTGGGCTCAAGCAATCCTGCCTCGACCTTCCAAAGTGCTGGAATTACAGGCGTGTGCCAGTGTGTCCGGCCAAAAAATTTTATTTTTATTACATTTCCACTTTTCACTTTTATAGCATGCAAAGTGCTATTCTCTTCCACTTTAATTCACAAGGGATCTTTACTCTTTGTCTTCCCACTTTTGTCACTTTCAATGAACCCACCCTGTATCTACTAAAATTCTGGAGTAGCCATGGGTAGAATTGCATAAGAATTCTGGTCATACCACAGTTTCATAAAAGGACAATGCCATAATGTACAAGTTCTAATAAAATGCACATCTTATCTTGTTTCATCAGCTTACTATTTAGGCTTTTTTTTTTTTTTGGCCTATTCCGACTTTGGATTTTAACTATTTTCAACTATCTTTTGCTTGTAGAGGCATTCTTTGGTTCCTAAGAGGCATTGAAGTGAGGGATTATTAACGGTGAAGCTAGTTTGGCATGCAGGATGCTGCTGTGTACATATATACTACTAGTGTACATGAATATAAACCCTTGTCTTTTTTTTTTTTTTTTTTAAATAAAAGTGAGTTTCCATCTGAGGTGCTTAGAATGACTCAGAAACAACTTGGCACACTCTTCTGGCCTGCTTACCCCCATTGAAATGTTATTTTATAAATTACATCTTAATTCACATAATTTTTTCTTGATAGTATAAAAATTCTCAAGTATTTTCTAAAAGGGCACACAACTTTCTATTTAAAAGTCTAAGCACTAAATTTTCTGTTGCCTTCCTAAATCCTACTCTTATAATTCAAAATATAGGAAATCACAAATGTTTCCTTCATTAGGTCAATTTTTTCACTAATTTTCTTCATTGAAAAAGTGAATTCATTTTCTGTTTTCCCTCATTTCATCCAATAGTCTTCATTTCTACCAACAAGTTGTGGCAGAAAGAACATGGGTTTTGGAACCAGATAAACCTGAGTTTGAATCTTGATTCTCTCACTGTAGGTAGCTATGTGGCCTTGGGTAAGTTTAACTTCTTTAAGCCTCCAGTTTCTCATCTGTAAAATGGAGACAAAAATACCCATGGTTTGGGTGACTGGTCAGATTAAATAAAAAACATAGGCACAAAATCTGGTACGTGGTAGGCATTCAACATGTTAATGCATTTCTCACTGCATCAAGTGTTTCAAAACTAATTATGGGGAGGAACCAAAATTTAGTGTGTTATTAATAAAAGACCACATAACATGTTTTCTTAAAACTCTTAATTTCTAATTTTGATTCATTACCTTTTTAAAATTTTTTTTTAATTTTGAGGCCAGGTCTCACACTGTCACCCAGGCTGGTGTGCAGTGGCGAAACACAGCTCACCACAGCCTCAACCTCCCAGGTTCAAGTAATCCTCCTGGGTTTAAGTAATGCTCTTGCCTCAGGCCCCAAGGAGCTGGGACTACAGGTGCATGCCACCATGCCTGGTTAACTTTTGTATTTTTTGTAGAGACAGGGTTGCCCAGGCTGGTCACGAACTCCTGAGCTCAAGCCATCTGCCCACCTTGGCCTGCAAAGTGCTGGGATTACAGGCATGAGCCAACGGCCCTGGCTTGATTCATGACATTTTAATGAAAAATTTCATGTTTTTTCTGTATGCCAAAGTGCCATGTATGAAATTTGGAAGAACTGATGTAATTGTAGAGCCATAGGAAGTCCTCTCTTCACCATACAAAAAGGTAACCTTTGCTCTATTGCTGCCACTAACGGCCATTTTGTGGGATGTGGTAACTTTAGGAATATGTATTACACTGAAATGGGCAATTAAACAATCAAAATATGCCATACTTTATAAATATCTTATCAGTAAGTTAGAGGTTTAATAAAGAGGTTTAATAAACAGAAATTTTATTTAACATATATTTCAACATGGAATCTATAAATTACAAAGGAGCACTGTGAATTCTGTGGAAAAATGTTTGTTTGCTCTACTCACAAGCTTCATCCTTGTGGCATGTATTAAGAGCTAAGTTATGTCCTGCTTTTTGTTCAGGCAGGCATAATGTCGTTCATGGTATTCTCAGAACTTTGTTAAACTTCACTGCTTTGTTAAATGTCACAGCTCTGTTAAACTTCACTGCTCACAAAATCCGAGTTAGGACAAATGTTCACAGGGGTTGTTGCTCACATGTTTTCCCATGGCTGGTTTTGACAAAATAGAATGCATCTAGTCCTAGAGAAGTACATGAAAGGTCTTCTTAGACGGATTCTGCTGGAATTTATCTCTTGTCTCTGCAGCTGCTGGTTCTATCTTCTCTCTTCTCCTGGAAATCAGAAAGAAGAAACAAGCATGCAAACACATGCTGAAACAGTGCAGCCACAAACTAGGCTGCTATGTCAAATAGTGGCATATTCAATACATCCTCACATCATTCTCTCAGGTAATGATTTTAAGGTTGGAGAAGACTTTACAGATTATTTACCTCAACCCTTATGTTATTTTCATCAGTACTTTTCTACTCTAAAAGATAAAATTCCCATTTTGAAAATGTCCAATTTTACAATTTCATTAAAAATTCAGGGTTCAGGCTGGGCGCAGTGGCTCACGCCTGTAATCCCAGCACTTTGGGAGGCTGAGGTGGGCAGATCACGAAGTCAGGAGTTCGAGATCAGCCTGGCCAATACAGTAAAACCCTGTCTCTACTGAAAATACAAAAATTAGCTGGGTGTGGTGGCATATGCCTGTAATCCCAGCTGCTCGGGAGGCTGAGGCAGGAGAATCACTTGAACCTGGGAGGCAGAGGTTGCAGTGAGCCCAGATCGCTCCACTGTACTCCAGCCTGGGTAACAGAGCAAGATTCTGTCTCAAAATAATAATAATAATAATAAAATAAAATAAAAAAAATTCAGGGTTCAAAGTGAAATGATAAATTCTAATTTATTTGCACCTGCATTTAAAGCTCTTTATTTTAAATTTTCTTCTAGATAAATTCTGTTACCAATAAATCTCTATAGTTTGTATAGCAGAAACGGGAGTTCTTGTGAAAACAATGTCCAATGGAACTAATGATGAAAGGGCCTGGAACCCACATAGTTAGGCACGTCAGAAGGAAACCTATGGGAATGTTAGCCCCTGCGTCCTTCTCCAGTTGTCTCTCTCCCTTTTTGTAATGAATCTGTTTCATTTAGTCCCGGGAAGTTATTTTCTCCTTTTCAGTCTCTGAAATAATATTCATTTGGCTAACTCTGAAGCTTTTCTCAGAATTCAGAATGTTGTTCATCTCCTATATGTTCATATACCTGTGAAATTAGCGCTTTTTACACTGATTTATAGGAGGCCGCTTATTTTTATGTTTCCTCTATCAGACTGTACCCATCAGGAAAACAAAGCCATTATAAGAATTGTAGGACTAGGGTATTTATTACAGGAATTACATTTTGCCAAATATAGGAGCTGGGAAAATGAGGGTCTGGAAAAGGAAAACTGAAGGATCAGAGTATATGGGGCAAGGGATAAAAATGTAGCCTGCTCTACTGTGGGGGGCCAGTCAGGATCGGAGAAAGGATGACTAAGCAGGCTGTTTGAAACACTGGTGTGGGAAACAAATGGAAGCGTGCAGGGAAATCTGATAATCCGAGCATGCCCAAGCTGCTGAAGTGGAACTATGAACGGGGAGCTTGCTGGGGAAGTCTGTGGAAACTGCCGAATGTGGAACGACTCTGCTTTTCTGAAACTACTGTCTTGAGGTCTGCAGCCCAGTGCCTGGTGGTGGCCTGGGGCTGCTGTTGGCCAGCAGGGCCTGTAGTCATGAGGATGCTATAGAGTAGAGAGGAGTGAGCTGCTGGGCACCTTTGTATTTGTCCATCACTGACTAACCATGATCAAGATCTTCCAACAATAATGGCTTCTGGTCACTTTTGCCTTCTTTTGTGGCCAAAATTTCTAACCTAGAAACGTGAATCCTAGCCTTAGCAAAGCTGGCTATCTTGTGCTCATGATGTATTCTTAGAATGTAGCGAAGTTTCTGGCACATAGACAGCACTTAATATTTAATAAACGAAAGAAGAAATGGAAGACCATTTATACACTGCAAATGAGAAGCAAAGCAAAATTTGTCACTGAGACATGAAAGTGTTTCATAAATCTCTTTCTTGACTATAACAGTAATTCAACATTTTTGTAGTACTGCTGTTTTATTGATAGATTGGTGACTAAGAGAAGTCCAGCAAAAGAAGAATTTGTCACTGTATGTCCAGTACTGTCAATGGGAGAGGGTACTCGGATTGACTCCTTCACTGGCTTTCCTCATCAGTGCAGGCTACACTTTGATCCCCTTCCCAAGAACTCCCAGATGGACAAAGGACAGGGGAACAAGAAGGGTAGGTGACTTTCTTGTTTGTCATCACTGTTTCTAGACCAGTGTTTCTCATCCTTCGCTTCCCGTTCGAATTCTTCGGAGAGCTTAGAAATATCTAAATGCTGAAGCTGCTCTCAGGTATGACCCAGGCATCAATATTTTTTAAAGTTCTCCATGTGATTCCAATGTGTATCCATGTTTATGTTTCTATGTGAAGTTAGTGCTTCACATAGAACTAACTTGTGTTTCAAAGTTAGCTAGCAGCATTGGTATTACCTACTCACATCCCAGATCTACTACATTAGAAAATGTATTTACCAAGATCTGTAGGTGGTACAAAGTACACTAAAGTTTAAAAAGTGCTGTTTCAGACCATTTTTACCAGAACCCAGTGCCCAGGCAAAAAATAAAAAAAAGATTCAGTAACGTCTAGTTTTAACACTGAATGCTCTCACTCATAAGTGGGAGTTGAGCAATGAGAACACATGGACACAGGGAGGGGAACATCACACACCAGGGCCTGTCAGGGGAACATCACACACCAGGGCCTGTCAAGGGGTGGGGAGCTAGCGGAGGGAGAGCATTAGCGGAAATACCTAATGTAGATGATGGGTTGATGGGTGCAGCAACCCACCATGGCACGTGTATACCTATGTAACAACTCTGCACGTTCTGTACATGTATCCCAGAACTTAAAGTATAATTAAAAAAAAAAAAAAACTCTCAAGACAGAAGAGATATGGATCCTTAATGATGTACACTTCTTAGCAGTTTTTCAATTAGGATACACATCTAAAATTATTTGAAGATTGGTACACTAATACCTGTTTCTGCTCCCAGGAATGATGAAAATACTCTGAATATAAAAGTGTTCATATTCTGTAGACAGCCCAGAAATAATGCTGCACTTGTATAACCATCTGATCTTCAACAAAGTTGACAAAAACAAGCAATGGGGAAAGGATTCCCTATTCAATTAATGGTGCTGGGATAAGTGGCTAGCCATGTGCAGAAGACTGAAGCCGGACCCCTTCCTTATGCCATATACAAAAATCAACTCATGATGGATTAAATACTTAAATAAAGCCTAAAACTATAAAAACCCTGGAAGATAACCTAAGAAACACCATTCTGGACATAGGCCCTAGTAAAGATTTCATGATGAAGACACCAAACGCAATCGCAAGAAAAGCAAACATTGACAAATGGAACCTAACTAAAGAGCTTCTGCACAGCAAAATAAACCATCAACAGAGTAAACACACAACCTACAGAATGGGAGACAATATTTGCAAACTACACATCTGACAAAGTTCTAACATCCGAAATCTTTTTAAAAACTCTTTTGGAGATAGAGTTTTGCTCTTGTCGCCCAGGCTGGAGTGCAATGGCGCAATCTCGGCTCACTGCAACCTCCACCTCCCAGGTTCAAGCGATTCTCCTGCCTCAGCCTCCTGAGTATTTGAGAATACAGGTGCACACCACCACGCCCGGCTAATCTTTTGTATTTTTAGTAGAGACAGGGTTTCACCATGTTGGCCAGGCTGGTCTCAATCTACTGACCTCAGGTGATCCACCAGCCTCAGCCTCCCAAAGTGCTGGGATTACAGGCGTGAGCCACCGTGCCTGGTCTAATATTGAGAATCTATAAGGAACCTAAAACAAATTAACAAGCAAAAAACAACCCCATTAAAAAGTGGGCAAAGAACATGAACAGACATTTTTCAAAGGAAGACATACATGTGGCCAACAAGCATATGAAAAAAATTCAACATCACTAATCATTTGAAAAATGCAAATCAGAACCACAATGAGACAGCATCTCACACCAGTGAGAATGGCTATTATTAAAAAGTAAAAAAATAGCAGATCCTGGTGAGGCTGCGGAGAAAAGGGAATGCTTATACACTGTTCGTGGGAATGTAAATTACTTCAGTTATCGTGGAAAGCAGTGTGGCGATTTCTTAAAGAACTTAAAACAGAAGTACCATTCAACCCAGCAGTCCCATTATTGGGTATACACCCTGAAGGAATGCAAATCATTCTATCTTAAAGACATGCAGGGGTATGTTCATTGCAGCACTATTCACAAAGACATGGAATCAACCTAAATGCCCATCAATCGTAGACTGGATACAGAAAAATGTGGTATATGTAAACCATAGAATACTATGCAGCCATAAAAAAGACCAAGATCATGTCCTTTGCAGCAACATGGATAGAGCTGGAGGCCATAATCCTAAGTAAACTAATACATGAACAGAAAACCAAACACCACACGTTCTCAGTTACACGTGGGAGCTAAACATTGAGTACACATGAACACAAAAACAGGAAAAACAGACACTGGGGCCCAATTGAGGCCATGGAGGATGGGAGGAAGGAGAGGACTGAAAAACTACCTATCAGGTACTCTGCTTATTACCTGGGTGATAAAATAATCTATAAATGAAATCCCTGCGATACACAATTTACCTATTTAACAAACCTGCACATGTACCCCTGAGCCTAAACGTTAAAAAAAAATCGTCATATTTTGACCTTTCACTTTTTTTTTTTTTTTTTTTTTGAGATGGAGTCTCGCTCTGTCACCTAGGCTGGAGTGCAGTGGCTGGATCTCAGCTCACTGCAAGCTCCACCTCCCGGGTTTATGCCATTCTCCTGCCTCAGCCTCCCGAGTAGCTGGGACTACAGGCACCCGCCACCTCGCCCGGCTAGTTTTTTGTATTTTTTAGTAGAGACGGGGTTTCACCGGGTTAGCCAGGATGGTCTCGATCTCCTGACCTCATGATCCGCCCGTCTTGGCCTCCCAAAGTGCTGGGATTACAGGCTTGAGCCACCGCGCCCAGCCCACATTTTTTTAAATGAGAGGATATTTGCATAATTCTAACAAACAGTCTTATAATAAAAAGCTGATTGAGGAGAAAACCTCTATAAACCAATCCCAAGAAATATTAATATTAATACAGGGTTCTTACCTGTATTGATATGTACATAAAATCAGAAGTTTCCTAGAAAAAGAAAAAAAGAGCTTCTTCAAATACTTACCAGAAGTGGTATTATTTGTAAAGTATTTTTTTTGATGGATGAGTTTTTGCAAATGGATTCTTGTATATCTGAAATAATTATACCACAATACCAAAATAATTTAGTTACATATACAGAAATAGAAGAATGACTAAAGAATCAATTATTAAATTCTGATGTATCAAAATATTCAAAATTGAGTAAGAAACTTTTTTCTATCACCCCCTAGAAATAGTCTTTATACTTATATTAGGTCCAAAAATGGAAGTAATTTGATTATAAACAATTACATAAAGCTTATGTTGATAAAAGAGAATTCCTAATACTTTTACTATTATATAACAATCTTCATTCAAATATTATGTTTTTTTCCCTTTCTTTTTTTTTTTAATCAAAAATATTAATTTCATCCTTGGAGCTTCTCAGAAAAAAAGAGATGTTTATTTAGTTATTGAGGCATAAAAAATTGAGTAACTTGGTTCCCTTTTCAATTTTTAGATTTTTGTTTATATAATAGCAAGCATCTGAGCAAAAAAAAAAAAATAATAATTCAGGCAGAATCTTTTACAGGAAGCATTTAAATATGTAGAAGTATCAAATAAAAATTTTAAAAATTCTCCAATTATTGCCTTTTTTCTTTATCTGCATAATTTTGCATCTTAAACTCATAGCCTTAGTTCATGATTGTAGCTCCCTGCTTTTTATTAATATATTATTTGAAAATTTAGTTTTAATTTAAAAATACAGAATATATAAAACATATATGCATATTTTAATTAATACTTATAAAGCTAATGTCTGTGTAACCACCTAGATTAAGAAATTTGAACATTATCACTACCTTGGAAGCTTCCTGTCACTTCCTGCCTACACAATGCCCTATGGATTTCATTTCCTTCCCTCACCCAGAGAGGTAACCAACCCACTATACTGGTTTCTTTGTGATTTTAGCACATATTAATTGCAAGCATGCAAAATAATATTGTTTAGTTTTATCTGTTTTTAGACTTCATATAAATAGAATTGTACTGTCTTTATTCTCCTGTGATTTACCTTTTTTGCCCCGAATTATAAATTTTTAGATTCATCAATGATGATGTGTGTAGCTGTAGTTTGTTTATTTTCTTTTTGTTTTTTCTGTTGCTGTTTCAGTTTGGAAAATTTTTTGTTGACCTATATTCAAGTTCACTGATTCGTCAGTGGTGTCTTGAGTCTAATGATGAACACATATAAAACATTTTCCATTTCTGTAACTTTTCTTTCTCACACATCTGTCTCTCATAGTTTTCATCTCTCTGCTGAAATTCTCCATCTGTTCATGCACGTTGTCTATCTCTCTCGTGTTGTTCATCTTTCCCACTATAACCTTTAGCATATTAGTCATAATTATTTAAGTTACCTGATAGTTCCAACATCTTGGTCATCTTTGCATCTTATTCATTGATTGCTTTGTCCCTTGATAGTGTTTTTTTCTCTTGTTCTTTTGGTATGTCTCATAATTTTTGACTGAATGCTGGACATGATTTTTGGAATACTAGGAACCGAGGTAGATAGTATTTGTGTCTTGAAATGAGTATATGCACTTCTGCCACTTCTCCTAGGTCACTGGAGGGTATGTGTGTGTGTAGGTGTGTGCAGTGTGTATGTGTAGATGTTTAAAACCTTAGTAGGGAATTTGAGCTTTTTTTTTTTTTTTTTTTTTTTGAGACAGGGTCTCCCTCTGTTGCCCAAGCTGGAGTGCAGTGCTGTGATCACAGCTCATTGCAGCCTTGACCTCCTTGGGCTCAGGTTATCCTCCTACTTCAGCCTCTGGAGTAGCTGGGACCACAGGCCTGTGCCACCATGCCTAATTTTTTTTGAATTTTTTGTAGATACAAGGTTTCACCATGTTGCCCAGCTGGTCTCAAACTCCTGGGCTCAAGCGATCTGACTGCCTCAGCCTCCCTGAGTGGTTTGGGTTTTGTTGTTGCTGTAACCAACTACAGTACATTACTAACATTACTAATTTCAAATTCCATTAGTGTTACTCTGTACTTACGCAGGGGTCTTGGAGAGTCCCCCCACCCCTTGAAATGTTCCTGTTCTGCCCTCATGTTTTCGCCTTCCTACATGTGTGTACAGTAGACGGGATCTCTCCCTATGCCCTTGCCTGTCTCCCAGTAGTAGATTTATTTGTTACTTGGTACTTGCTGGTCTGGTGGTGGGGAAGTAGGGTAATTTTTCTGTTGCCCTGGTCCAGGCTCAGTCTTAAGCAGACCCTGTGTGCCCCCCCTTTCTCCTGCTCCTCCTTCCCATGACAGTTAACTTTGCCTTGTATCTTTGGCAGATTTTGTGTAAGAGAATTTTAGACCCCTCCTCTAACAGTAGGATACCTCTAATGGTTTTGGCCCAGGAATGTTTCTTGCTCCTCTCCCAGGGGTAGAGGCTTTTTTTCCTTTACTTTTTCCCTATCCCCAGTAAGTCTTCACCTGTGCCTTGAGAGCAATCAAGAAGGTATGCTGCCTCTGTCCCAGATGGCCTTCATTCTGCAGGGGGCAAGGTTCTGTATGGGGGGGCGCTTCATGCCTTTCCTACAGCAGTGGCTGCTGCCCTTTGTCAGGCCTGCACTACTGAGGAAGGGTTTCTCTTGTCCCCTGTTCTGCCTCCTATTTTCCTCATGAACACTCAATGTAGATCCATGGAGAAGAATCTGAGTAGGTGTGAAGTTCCCTTGTGCCTATGGCTCCCAGAGGTTCTACATCCTCACAGTAGTCCACATTCATCTTTTAGCAATCTGTTGAAAATTTAAACAGAATTTCTAAGATCAGCTTGATGGAACCCGACATTTCCCTCTCTCATATTCTCCCATGGGTGAGAAAATGTTCACGACCTGTCTCTCTTTAGATGTTTATGTGTTTTCTTGGATGCTAGGCTACTTGGTTGTGATGCGACCTCAGCTCTCTAATTGGCTCAAGAAAAGTTATACTTTTGCCATTTATCTTTTATTGTTCTTAGAATGGGATTGATACATTCTGGCCTTCTACATTTTAGGAGGAAATATAATATGTGTGTGGTTCTGAACCATAGGTGATTTTTGCCACCCAGGGGATATTTGGTAAAGTCTGGGAGCACTTGTCATGATAGGGAAGTGCTATGGCATCTAGTGGGTAGAGGCCAGGGATGCTGCTAAACATGTTACAATGCACTAGACAGTCTCCCACAATAAAGCATTATCCAGCTCAAAATGTCAACGGTGCTGAGGTAGAGAAAACCTGATAGATACATAAAGTATTTCTATTATTGTTCAGATCTAAATATTTAGAAATTCCTATTATATTTTTTTTCTTCAGAATCATGATTTATTTAGAAACTTGTTTCTTAATGGTTATCTTTTAGTTAGTAGATTTTAGGTAAATTGCATTGTGGTTAGAGGATGTGGGCTGTGTGACTCCGATCCTTTGAAACGTGTTAAGGCTTGTTTCATGGTCTTATATATGGTTCATTTTATAAAGGTTGTATGTTTACTTACAAAGAACATGTCCCTTTGATCAGTTTTGTTAATCATATTTAATTTTTATACATCTATTTGACTTTTTAAATCTATTTGTTCTATCAATTACTGACAATGGTATGTTAAAATCACCCACCATGGTTAAAATTATTTTATATATTTTGAGGCTGTGTTCTTAAGTGCATATAAAAATCTTATGTATTTCTTCTGAAGTAAGATTTTGCTCATCATAAAGTGATTTTTTTTTTTTTGAGACGGAGTCTTGCTCTGTTGCCCACCTGGAGTGCAGTGGTGCGATCTCGGCTCACTGCAACCTCCACCTCCCAGGTTCAAGCGATTCTCCTGCCTCAGCCTCCCGAGTAGCTGTGACTACAGGCACGCACCACCACACTCAGATAATTTTTGTATTTTTAGTAGAAACGGGGTTTCACCATGTTGGCCAGGATGGTCTCGATCTCTTGACCTTGTGATCCGCCTGCTTCGGCCTCCCAAAGTGCTGGGATTACAGGAGTGAGCCACTGCGCCTGGCCCAAAGTGATACTTTTTATGTCTAATAATGATTTCTATTTAAAAGTGAATCAAAACCAGCTTTCCTTTGGTTAAAACTTGCTTGGCATACCTTTTCCATCTTTTTTTGCTTTCAGTTTTTTAATATCCTTATGTTTTAAATATATTGTTTATAAACAGAATATAGTTTCAACGTAAAGTTCCATTTAACAACCTCTTTCAACTGTAGCACTTACTACATTTACAGTTATTGTAAATATACTCCTACATATAATCTTACAGTATTTCTTCTATGTTTATTTTTCTCTCCTTTGTTGCTTTATTTCTGATTGATTTGTCAGCTTTTATGTGCCACTTTTCCTTCTCTACCAGATTGGAAGTTGTATATTACATTTCTAGTTCTTTAGTTGTGACTCTAGCAATTATCACAGGCATACTTCAGTTATCAATATCTAACTTTAATCTAGGACTTTACCCAATTCCCTAACAATATAAACATCCTACTATACTTTAACTCCATTTATGCCCTCTCAACTTATGTACTATTATTGATAGGTATTTTAATTCTAACCTTTTTCTCTCTGAAACATATACTACTTTATTATATTTATTGTTTTATGCAGTGTTTGTTGAAATTTACTCTCTCAGACTGTCCATCTGAGGTTAACTGCACTTTCTGCCTGGTGAAGTGCAGTGAGAATTTTCTTTAGCAAGTCTGCTGTTAACAAAGTCTCTTGGTTTTTGTCTGAACATGTTTTTAATTCACCCCTCTTCTTGAGAGACATTTTCATGGGTATTAAATGGCCGGGCGCGGTGGCTCACGCCTGTAATCCCAGCACTTTGGGAGGCCGAGGAGAGTGGATCATGAGGTCAGGAGATCGAGAGCATCCTGGCTAACACGGTGAAACCCCCTCTCTACTAAAAAATACAAAAAATTAGCCAGGCGTGGCAGCGGGCGCCTGTAGTCCCAGCTACTCGGGAGGCTAAGGCAGGAGAATGGCATGAACCTGGGAGGCGGAGCTTGCAGTGAGCTGAGATTGACCCATTGCACTCCAGCCTGGGCGACAGAGCGAGACTCCGTCTCAAAAAAAAGAAGGTATTAAATTTGAAAGTTACTTTCTCTCAGCACATTGGACATATTATCAATATCTCCTGAGTTTTTTTTCATTGTTTTCTGCCTTTTTTGTTGCTGATTAAAATTAACTGTGATGTATCTTGTGGTAATTTCTTTTTATTTATTTTGAAATACGTTGGGTTGTTGAACTTGTAGGTTGGTATTGTTCATCAAATTGGAAAAGTTGTCAACCATTATCACTTTAGATATTGTTTCTGGCCTTTCAGGCTTTTAAATTTACTCTTTTGTGTCTTTTAAGCTCTATATCATATTTTCCATCTCTTTGTCTCTCTAAGATATATTGTGGATAAATTTCTTTGATTCATGTTCTAGTTTACTAATTCTCTCTTCGGATGTCTGTAATCTGGTGGTTAAACCAACTACTAAATTTTACATTTCAATTATTATATTTTCAATTTCCAGGCATTCTATTTTGGCCCTTTTTCAAATCTGTTTGTTCTTTCTTTATAGTTTCTTATTTTCTGCATGTTTAAGTTTAAAAATGATTGCATTTTTTGCATTTTAAAACTTACTTCTGATAACTTTAGAGCATACAAGCACAGTTATTTATAGTTTGTTATAGTTTGTGCCTGGTCATTTCATTATCTAAATCCTTTCTGGGTCTATTTATTCTGTTTTGTGGATTGTTTTGATTTTTTTTTTTCTTGATGCCTTTTTTTGTTATGGATTAAGTTATTTACTTTTTTTTTTTGTGGGCTGCTCATTTTCCTTGGATTTCACTTATGATAATTCTATGAGGACTGGAATATAGGTCTAGAAGATATATAAATGTACTTTTCCCAAGTGTTTTGGAATACTACCAGTTTGAGATCATTCTAAATTAAATTCTTTGCTTGAGATCTTAAGAACTACTCAAGTAATGTGAGTATGGGCTGTAAATTAGTGTGATACTTGTACTAGACTGTGATTCTACATTCTCAGGGATCATTTTTCCTCTATCACCTGCTCAATACTGAAGTTTAAAAAATGAAAGCTTTTTTTTTTTTTAAAGCTTTTTTTTTTTTAGGAAAATTCCTCTTCCTGTGCTGCCTCTCTGTGTGTGTGCATGTGTGGTGCTGCCTCCTGTGGTGTGTGCCATGTGTGGTGCTGCCTCCTGTGTGTGCATGTGTGTGCTGCCTCCTGTGTGTGCATGTGTGGTGCTGCCTCCTGTGTGTGTGCATGTGTGGTGCTGCCTCCTGTGTGTGTGCATGTGTGGTGCTGCCTCCTCTGTGAATGCATGTGTGGTGCAGAGCTCGTTGGGTGGCCCAGCTTTATGACGAAAAGATCTTCTATGAGACTACTCATCTTGAGTAGGCCTGTTCCCTTTTTTCTATGAGGCCATGGAAAGCAAAGTTCAATTTCACTCCATGAGTTAAATATCCTCAGGACAAGAGCTAGCTGCAGCACTCTTCTTATTTTTTGAGTTCTTATCTACATTTAGTTCTTGGTCTTAAGCATTTCTTACATTCTTACTAGATCATCACTATATTGCAGGTTTAAAAAATACTTAATCAAGCATTTATGGTTGTTTTGATGGATGGTCAGTATAGATACGTAGCCTGTCCATTGCTGAAACAGAAGTCTATTCATATACTCCAAAAAGACGGATAAGTCTGCCAAATAAGTTGACATAATCATAAATGATATGGCATACTTGAACTAGTATTCAAATATGTTCTGAATGGTTATACACTCAATTAAGTAGTTGGTCATATGGATACATTTTGTATTTTTCCTTTCAATTTTTAAATTAAAGTTTAAATTAAAATTATCTAAGTGAAAAATGCAGTATTTCTTATAAGAGGTGTTCTTCCATACTTACAATGTAGTCTTTCATTGAGATCATTAAGGGACTCTAAGATCTTCTGTTCTTCAGCTGATAGTGTGCAGATGTTGAATTGTTGAGTTTTATTTAAAGGTAGATTTGATTTCTGTATCTGTTTGCTATTCAAGACAGTCAGAATCTCATCCTCCGGCAGTGATGCTTTCACTAAGTTTTCAGCCATCAAAAACTCAGAAGTACTATCTGAAACTACAGAAACTTATATCAGTTATTCTTTGATCCCCTTTTGTCTTTGAGATCAGCCCTGATACATACTTACACATACTTAACTGTCTGAATGTATTCATATTACAAACAGAAACCTAGTAAATATCTGCTACTTTGATTTCATCTATCAGGATTCTCTATCTAGCATTTTCCCATCCTTCATTTTTAAAAAAAGGATATTGAAAATGAAAGCAGTGAGTTAATAAAAATTCCCAGAGTATTACTTAACTAAAGAAAAAAATATTTAATGTAGATAGTTTTTGTAATATGTTTATTATTCATTGGTTGTACAAAAAAGATGACAGAGACCGTTTTTATAATAGTAGTTATAATGAATTATAAAAAAGTAAGACACAAAAAAGCTTAAGGAAACATTAGAAACTTTGATGATCAGCTGAACACAACTGACAGCCTAGAAACAGACCTAGTTACATATTAGAACATGTGATCAAAGAAGCATCAAAGACTTGACAGAAGGGAAAGATGATTTTATAAATTAGTTGTTGCTTATAAAAGAATCAATTTGGGCTGGGTGCAGTGGCTCATGCCTCTAATCCCAGCACCTTGGAAGGCTGAGGCGGGTAGTTCACTTGAGGTCAGGAGTTCGAGAGCAGGCTGGCCAATATAGTGAAACCTCGTCTCTACTAAAAATACAAAAATTAGCCAGGTGTTATTGTGGGCGCTTATAATCCCAGCTACTTGGAAGGCTGAGGCAGGAGAAGCACTTGAACCTGGGAGGTGGAGGTTGCAGTGAGCTGAGATTACGCTACTGTGCTCCAGCCTGGGTGACAGACTCTGTCTCAAAAAAAAAAAAAAAAAAAAATCAATTCGTAGTTTTATTTCCCACTGTTTGTTAAAACAAATTCCAAAGACATTAAAGACAAACTTAAGGAATCAACCCATTAATTAAAGCAACCCTGAAGAAAATGAAACAAATGTTTCTGAATTTCTATATTGGGAAGGTTCTTCGACAAAGCTTAAAAGTAATGGAGAAATCAGTAAAAGAAAAAAGACTAAAACATGTTTATTTAAAGCCAGTCTTCCCTAATATACTTTAAATTTCTGAAGAGCAACACTTTATATATTTTGTTCATTATTATAAATGTTAAGTATTACTTATTCAAAAATGCTTGGGACTAGATGTGTTTCAGGTTTTGGATTTTTTTTAGAATTTTGGATATTTGCATACACATGAGATATGTTGGTGATGAGACCTAGGTTTAAACATGAAACTTGGCTGGGTGTGGTGGCTCATGCTTGTAATCCTGGCACTTTGGGAGGCTGAAGTAGGTGGATCACCTGAGGTCAGGAGTTCAAGACCAGCCTGGCCAACATGGTGAAGCCTCGTCTCAACTAAAAATACAAAAATTACCCAGGTGTGGTGGCATATGCCTGTCATCCCAGCTACTTGGGAGGCTGATGCAGGAGAATTGCTTGAACTTGAGAGGCGGAGGTTGCAATGAGCTGAGATTGCACCACTGCACTCTAGCCTAGGTGACAAGAGTGAGACTGTTTCAAAAAAAAAAAGAAAAAAAAATGAAACTCATTTATGTTTCATATATACCTTATACACATACCTGAGGTAATTTTATATAATATTTTAAATAATTTTGTCCATGAAATGAAGTTGGTGCATATTGAACCATCAGAAAGCAAAGATATCACTGTATCAGCAATCTATGTGGATGATCTGTGGTTGTTTGGCATCACTGTTATTCCTGACTCCAAATTTATATCTACTGAAAAGCAATAATGTTCTTACACCTCTTCACACATAAGTACTTAACAGTAAAAAATAAGATGTATCCTTCAAACTGTGAGAAAATAATGTGTTCAGAGCAACTAAGCACCACAGTAACATCACCAGAATTCCTGTGTCAGCTGTTCAGCAACAGCAACAAGGAACAATGGCAGGCTTCCAACCTTAGGTATTATGTTACATTTTGATCAAATGGTTACTGTACACTGAATTTTCTTTTTTTAGGTGAGAAGAAACATCAGAAGCAGCTGAGGCACAAGGAAGTGGGTCCTCTAGGGATGAGGAAATATTCTGCTAGATGACCTTAAAAAACTGTTTCTTCCAGAGTCTTTTGCGTTAACATTTACAATGTTTTTTTTTTTTTTTTTTTGGTCTTTGATTTTATAAACAGGCATAATTTCTTCTTGTTATGAGTGCACACTGCTCTAGTCATTCAATAAACCCATCACACATTTTTATCATATTGTCAATTGGCACTTTTTTTTTTTTTTTTTGCAGTGTTAACAATGTCATTATCATCACTATTATCACAATCATCTTAATTCAGAGGTCTTTTGGCTATTTCACCATTGGTTAATGAAACACCTGGAGTCTTATTATCGATGTTAATAACCTCTTTGATATCCAGTTCTTCCAGCTTACTGATAGACTCTGAAGGTATATTTTTTGCTTATGTAATGATGTCAGACATCATTTTTTTCTCACTTGACATACGGAATCCTTCAGTCACTACCTTGTTCATCATCATCACTGAATATAGTTGCAGGCCAGAGGTTGTGCCAGGAATGCACAACTGTGTCTTCAGTCCCTGTGTTTCAAGTGTTTGCAACAGCATGTGTGGCATCCTTCATGCTAAACTCGTTTTGAAAACCTTCTACATCCACACCTCTGTTCACTGTTGCTGGCATGCTGTTCAAGAAAGTGTTTATATACATTTACTCTTCATCTATCTAAGGATACTCTGGTCACATGGCTGAATTAATGAAGTAATATTTGGGGGAAAACACATGGCAAAAACATTATTTTTGATGAGAATTTCAGCTGGAGGATGAACAGAACAGTTGTCAAAGAATAACAAAATCTTGTGGTCATCATTCGATCCAGCTTCCCTGATATAAAATGTTTGTGAATCCAATCAGAAAAGATGTCCCTGGTGATCCATGTCCTTTTGTTAGCATATTAATGGCCTGGTAAGAAATTCACTCCTTGAAAACAGTGAGGATACAAGATTTTGCCTATCATAGCAAGTTTACACTTAGGTGTGACTGAGTCATTAGCACACCCCAGCAGTTATTCTGTTATTCTTAATTCTTATAGGGGCTGTCTCATCAGCTATAGTCAATGTCTTTCTTGAGTAACACCACCAAGACAGTGATATTTCATCAGCAACATATACTTGTTCTGGTGTCAGATTTTCATCAGTGATGACCTTGGCAAACTCTTCAATTAATTTCTCTGCTGCTTTGTAGATAAAATTGTGCTGCTTGATCACCACAAATCTTTAAAAATAATGCTGTGTCTTAAATGCTGTGTCTATAACCAGCCTGTTGAATATTCATAGTTCTCTTCAATTTTCAGTTCATCATGATAGATCTTTGCTTGTTTCATGATTAGCATATCATTAAGTGGCACATGTTCACTGCGACGCTGAGGGATCCACTCTTTGACTTCATGATTGAAGTCCTATGTAGTGTTTTTATATTTTGCATTAACTTCTGTTCATCTCATCCAAAATAGAACTTTAACAGTTTATCCTTCTGTTTCTTCACATCATATATTGTGGTCTTTCCAACACCATCCTTTTCTATATGACATTTTACACTTATGTTGCTGGTCTAGTTTCTCCAACAGTTTGACTTTCTGTGCTATTGATAAACAGAAATGTTTCCTCTTTTTCTTATCACTGCTACCCACACGGGTATCTTCAGATCTTTTTGATATTTTCAACAATATCTTTATACCACAAAGCAGAGAAAAAGCAAAAAAATAAATATAGTGAGTAATGCATGTAGGTCTTGGCCCTATGTGGGGCCTCGTGGGGAATCTGCCATTGGTACATGTACCATTTTATTACTCCTCGTGAGGATGCTTACATGGGGGAATCCGGGTATGCATGGAAAAGATATAGCACAGCTGAAGAGGGTTGAGGGGATCTTTTTTCCCCTTGGGGATGCTAAATAAACTGTGTGGTATGAGTCTGTGTTTTAGCTGTGACCCATCACATGAAGCCAGGTGTAAAATTTTCCATTTGTGGTATAATATCAGGGGTCAAAAAACTTTGGACTTTGGAGCATTTTTGATTTGGAAATATTTGGATTAGGGATATTCAACATGTACATCCAATACCTACTTACAAGCAGAAGATTAGCTCTCAATAATCATTTATTGAATGAACAAATAAAAATTAAAACTTATGTGAAAATACAATATAAGTAGAATAACATGCAAATAGTAAAGTAGTGAAAACATCTTCAACTAATATAAGAATTAGAATCCTTGATAGCTAAAGAATTTGTAGACATTAGTAAGAAAATTTCAAACTCTAATATCTAAGCTAAGAAAAAAGAGTACAGAGAGACAGTTCACCAAAAAATACACAGAAAAGCAATTAAGCATAATATTAATGAAAGGTATAGAAATCAAAACTAACATAATACTATTTTTTTTGTCTATAGCAAATATGAAAAGATTCTACCTCAAGTTGACATACAACACTGGACATATACTACGAGAACAATTTTGAATAATACTTTTCTGGAAAATACTTTAGTAATATATATGAAAAGCCATATCAATGCTTATTTTTTTGATCCAGTATTCATTTAATACACAGAGTTTAATTCAATAAATATTTACTGGCTGGCATTTACAAGTCAGTTACTATAATTTTAATTCTGGAAATCTAACCTACAGAAATAAGTAAAAATCAGAAAATAACTTGATGTAGAATTTAGAATAAAGAAACACTGACAATGACCTAGATGTGCAGAGGTGAGGAGAGTTCAGGTTCTAAATGATGGTTTAAGAATTACATAATACATTAGCATCTGAGAATAGGCATACAAGAAAAAAAAATCACTGGGAACAAAGATCAGAGGAAAATGTTTAAACTAAAACGTACCTTCTTCAACATAAGAAGTACCCCTTGTAGTTTGTTTTGGCTCACTTGAACTTAGCTGGACACTTTGTCCACAATTCTACAAAAATAGAATATTGAATTAAAACATATTTCCATATTTAAAATTCGTATGTACATGAAATTTTAAAAAACATTTAATTACTATATATATTTTCAGCTATAATTGTTCACGTAACTTGTATATTACATTTTTTAGAGCTATAATTGTTCACGTAACTTGTATATTACATTTTTATTATAATAAGAATTATTATAATAAAGAATTTCTATGGTAACAGAATATTATGAATAATGTTTTATGTCCACTAAAAAATTTTCAGGTTATGATATTGTCCTGGATATTTGGAAGAGGTAAAGTGAGTAGGATGGTAATCAAAAGTGCCAATTAGGCCAGCACAGTGGCTCATGCTTGTAATCCCAACACTTAGGGAGGCCGAGGTGGGCGGATCACAAGGTCAGGAGATCGAGACCATCCTGGCTAACCCGGTGAAATCCCGTCTCTACTAAAAAATACAAAAAACTAGCCGGGTGAGGTGGCGGGCGCCTGTAGTCCCAGCTACTCGGGAGGCTGAGGTAGGAGAAAGGCGTAAACCCGGGAGGCGGAGCTTGCAGTGAGCTGAGATCTGGCCACTGCACTCCAGCCTGGGCGACAAAGCGAGACTCTGTCTCAAAAAAAAAAAATTAGCTGGGAGTGGTGGCACACACTTGTGGTCCCAGCTACTTGGGAGGCTGAGGCAGGAGAATCACTTGAACCCAGGAGGTGGAGGTTGCAGTGATCTGAGATTGCGCCACTGCACTCCAGCCTGGGTGACAGATCGAGACTCTGTCTCAAAAATAAAAGAAGTGCTAATTAAAGAAAAAGTAAGAAATTACCTTAAAGTTTATAACCTAGTTGGTTTATCATTGTAAGTGTGAATCACAACTATTAGCCAAAAGCATCTGACTACAGCTAATGCCAAGAATAGGTAATTATCTTATATGACAAAACTTAAAACACAAATAGCTGCCCCAATGCTGCACAGAACCTTGAAAATGGAAGTCTCAGAATACTGGCAAAAAGTGTACGCATCCAACACTTTCTGAGAGATACCAACTTCCCTTCCCTGAATATGGTCTACCTCCTTCTTTATTACCATTCTCTTTCACTTTAAGAAATAATTGTTTTCTGTCACATAAAACTGCCTGGCTATGACTATATGTAACTTTTGTTCAATCTGATCTGATGAGAAACTGCAGATTTTTGCAACAGCTCTCCTTCAGTAGATCTCACAGTCTTGTTTGATCTCCATTATAGACTTGAGAAACCTTGGACTGAAACCCTGGTGCAAACCTTTTCTACCTTTCACTTATCTCTTTGAGATTTTCTCCATATAGATGTCATAGGCTGGAGAAAATCCGGTATGATAACATGCATTTCCTAATACAAGGTGACAAGGGCCACTGCTGTAGTAACTGAACCCTTGCTTAGGCTCTGGAATAAAAAACAAAAACGAAAACAAGTCAAAATAATAAGGATGAAAAAATTTGATTCAGGAACACTGACCTATTCTTAGGCTAACAAGTGTTTGGAAGGTATGTAAGTGGATGGGTGAAGATCTGTATGTGAAAGTGGAAGGGAGGCTTCTGAAAAGGACAAAAATGGGCTCTAAACATATTAAGAATGCCAAAGAGCAAGAGACAGAAGAATAGAATAAGACCTAGTAAAATAAAAATGAATTTACAGAGGGCACTAATAACAAGCATTTAAAATTTTGTTAGTTCGTTTTCTTGGTTATAATTACATATTACTTTTAAATTTATAATATATTAAGAAAATAAGGAAAAAATAAGGGTAAAGATGTTTTTGCATTGTGCATTTTGAGATGTTGGATGGGAACACAGCAGTTGAAATGGAAGGACTTATTAGGCATTATTGTATTTGTAATCAGGAAGTTATATCTGTAATTAACCATTACACTATTAAGCAATAAAAATATATGGGTAATGGGATTAACTTTGTTTACATAAATATACAACTAAATGACTTGTTTTGCTGATAAGATTACATCATTGTTGATTATTCTCCATATAATAATCTTATCCATATAAAAATCAGTACTTCCTATAATATACAAATCATAGCACCTTCAACCAGTAACTTGGAATATAAATTCTTCGTAAGGCATTTTATTATAAATATTCCAGTTTTATTTTAAAAAGTCAGAGTGACATTTAAAGTGGAAACTCCCAAGTGAAATGCTATTTACTTATCTATCTAGACTTTTAATATTCTAAAGTCAATCCCTGGATCAAGTTAGACCTCTACAAAATGCCATATTTGACTTCATTTACTTAGCTCTTACAGAATTACCTCCATTTATTTTAATTTTATTTCATTTTTTTGAGAGACAGGGTCTCGCTCTGTCACCTGGGCTGGAGTACACTGGCACAATTATAGTTTACTGCAGCCTCAAACTCCTGGGCTCATGCATCCTCCCACCTCAGCCTCCCAGGTAGCTGGGACTACAGGCATGCACCCACCTCAGCCTCCCAGGTAGTTGGGACTACAGGCATGTACGAAAGCATGCCTGGTTAATTTTTTTATTTTTTATTTTTAGAGATGAGGTCTTGCTATGTTATTTATACTGGTCTTGAACTCCTGAGCTCAAGTAATCCTCCTGCCTTGGCCTCCCAAACTGCTGGGACTACAGGCATGAGCCACCACGCCTGGCCATTATTTAAAAATTGTTATTATGCTGTTTAATTTTATTGAAGATCTCTATCTCACACAGTCATATTAAACTCTTCATTCATTTGTTGTGGAACTGTTATTAGGAGCATATTCATTATGTATTTCAAAGTTCCCTATGAAAGGTCCTCAGTGGGAAATGTTTTTTAAAATTGTATCCCAAACAACAACATTATCATCGATATCCTTTAGAAGTATATAACTCATCTAATTTTCCTTTTTGCCATGTCTTCCAGGAAGCTCAGACACAAATAGGATATTCAGTCGCATGAAACTATAGTTGTCTTTATGATTAGCATGCTTGTTATTTTTCTTTTTGAGATGGAGTCTTGCTCTTGTTGCCCAGGCTGGAGTGCAATGGTGTGATCTCAGCTCACTGTAACCTCCGCCTGCTAGGATCAAGCAATTATCCTGCCTCAGCCTCCCAGTAGCTGGGATTACAGGCACCTGCCACCACCCCTGGCTAATTTTTCATATTTCTAGTAGAGACAGGGTTTCACCATGTTGGTCAGGCTGGTTTTGAACTCCTGACCTCAGGTGATCCACCCGCCTTGGCCTCCCAAAGTGCTGGGATTACAGGTGTGAGCCACCGTGCCTGGCCTAGCATACTTGTTTCTTCTATCCAGGTCTCTAATTTACTTTTCTTTCTTTTTTAAGTGTATATTTAAATAGCTTTGTTGAATTTTGTTGTTAATGACCTCATTTTTTCCAGCATTGGCTATCAATAATAACAAATAAAATAATAATAATGATTTAGAGTTGGTTTAAAACTTTCATTGGTAACTGATTATACAGGCTAACTAGAACACAGCAAGTAGGTATAGTGGAATAATTTCCTAGCATTAAGATTCCAAGACTGCTTCACAAATGGCTTTGACTATAATTATATTTATGTCATGGTATACAGTTTACAGCAAGAACATAGTTCTTTAAGAACCTCTGTTTTCCAAGCAATTTTTTAATATTGAATAGAGATTTTGATTAATATTGTACTTACGTTAATCTGCTTACTGTCCTTCTGTCCTACAGATCCAGGGTTTTGTCTTTTCTGCTCTAAAATATTTCTTCGCTTGGTTTCAACAATTCGTTTTCTTCTCATAACAGTAGACCCTTGAACAAATGCCAGCACAATGTCAAAAATTATGCAAGTTGAGTAGCCAATATATATCCACTGCAAACTTTCAAGTTACTTTCAAACATCAAGAAAACTCTGTAAGTTTAATTTATTCAGTTGGCATACTTTATTGAGCTCCTCTTATATGTTCTATGCATGGCACAGTTAAAATGTTGAATTCAACCAAATCCTTGCTTCTGAGGGGTTTATAGTTTAGAGCAGTAACCTCCAGAGCATGATGCAGAACACCAGAAGACTGTGTGAGATAATCCACTGGTGTGCTGGAAGAACATATTAGAATTCCAATTCATATTTATTATCTAAAAATTAGAAGTAAAACTTCACTCATGTAATATATGATTGACACTGGCACCCTGGTTATTTTGCAAGGTAGATGCTCATGTAATGCATGAAGTAAACTCAGTTATCTTAAGAGTCAAAATTCCAAGTGTGAGAGGTTGACAGTGGTGTCATGATTCATTAGCTCTTGTTAGCTTCCTGCAATGTACTAAAAATTATGTGTACCCAGGTAAGTGAACTTATGCATATCTTATAGTATCTTAACAAGCCCTCACAAAATAACAAAGTGGCTAAAATAACTTTTGTAGGGCTTCTACTATATCTTTGGTATTTATTATTAAAGTGAGTTGTAGGTACATGAATGCTTATTATACTATTTTTCTTTGCTTTTTTTTTTTTTTTTTTTTGAGACAGTCTTGCTCTGTCGCCCAGGCTGGAGTGCAGTGGTGCAATCTTGGCTCACTGCAACTTCTGCCTCCCAGGTTCAAGTGATTCTCCTGCCTCAGCCTCCTGAGTAGCTGAGACTACAGGTGCATGCCACCACGCCAAACTAATTTTTGTATTTTTAGTAGAGACAGGGTTTCACCATGTTGGCCACGATGGTCTTGATCATAAGGAAATCAAATACTGCAAGTTCTCACTTATAAGTGGGAGCTAAACTTTGAGTACACACGGTCATAAAGAAGGGAACAATAGACACTGGGGCCTACTTCAGACTGCAGGGCGGGAGGAGAGCGAGGACTGGAAAACCACCCTTGGGTACTATGCTTACTTCCTAGGTGACAAAATAATCTGTACACCAAAACCTAGTGACATGCAATTAACCTATATAACAAATGTGCACATGTACTCCTGAACCTAAAAGTTAAAAAAAGAAACAACAACAACAAAATAAATAAAGGAGGGGGGAGGATAAATAACTTGCCCAAGGCCATAGGGCCAATAAGGGGCAAAGCTGGGATTCAGCTCCAATCAGTTGGGCTCTAAAATCTAAACTTCTAGCTCCTACACATATGCTAGTAATTTTCATTCTGATTTGACTGTGTCTCACAGAAATAAATATATTTTGCATTGTGACCTTGGATACATAGGTAGTTTTATAAAATATATTTATCCTCACAACATATGATACTTTCTGGTAGTTTCCATTCTAGAATATTCTAATTCTAAAATTAGACTTCGTTAAAAAAAATACTGGTTACCAGTCATTGATTTCACAATTGACAAATGAGTCATGTCCCACAGTTTAAAAAGCACTGTATTATGCTTATTTCCACCTGTATCGATATGCTAAATGCTACATATGCAAAATATTATAGTTTCCACTGAGATTATTTTGGCAGCAATATAGTTTCTATGTTGTTTTCTATTCTTGGAATTTTCTTCCTCTAAATCTTGAGAAGTCCTCATCTTTATCTAAAAAGCTTTAAACACCTTGCATAAAAATTCCCTTGTTCATGTAACTGCTGTGTCAAGGTTTTATCTCATCCCTCAGTCTGCTCATCAATCTTCTGAAGTCACTTTTGTACTTCCTTGATTGAATTATTTATCTTTGTGCTTTATTGTTCTTTGTAGTTTTGTGGATTGTAAATTATTGATCGCTGTTAAAGACACAATATATGCCTGAAACAGTTTATGTATTTTTCTGTTCATATATATGTGCTTAAATATTATCTAACAATTAATACAATAGCTGAGAATCTTGCTATTTTTGCAAAAATAATGTAGCTTGCACTGGTATCTCTGGCCAAATTCCTAGTTTCCTATGAAAATTCTAGATATGATAGTTTCACCACCACAACTCAAAATAAAGGAACTAATCTTCAATAAAGCATTATATTTTTAAAAATCTGTAGTATTCTTAATTGTAAACACAAAAAAAATACCGGAGACAATCTCAGAATTATAGTTTTGGAAAAAAATCTTAGAAGTTAACTAGTTCAACCTGTAACCTATGGATCTAAATTACTCACAGGTGGACGTTCAACTGCTGCTTGAATGGAATAGTGATGAGGAGCCACTACCTCATGGGGGCATCCTCTTCCTTTGCTGGATAGCTCAAATCCTTCCTTATGCTAAGCTGAAAACCTCTCTGCAATTTTTACCCTTTCATTTCAGTTCTGTTTACTCCTTCTTCTTTGTAATAAGCCTTCAAATATTTGTACACAGCTGTCATGTCTCTTAGGCTTGTGTTTCTTTAACTGACTTTTAGACTGAATCTCTCCTCTCATAGCCCTGGGTAATCCAGTTTGTTTATAATTTCTTAAAATATATATTATAAAATGACATAAAGTACCGCAGTACTTCTAAAGATCTGCTTGTTACTGCCTAAAATTATTACCCATCACCTAGGTATTAAGCCCCGGATGCATTAGCTATCCTGATGCTCTCCCCTCCCCACTCCAAGACTCTAGTGTGTGTTGTTCCCCTCCCTGTGCCCACGTGTTCTCATTGTTCGGTTCCCATTTATAAGTGAGAACATGTGGTGTTTGAGTTTGTGTTCCTGTGTTAGTTTGCTGAGGATAATAGCTTCCAGCTTCATCTATGTTCTTGCAAAGGACATGATCTCATTCCTTTTTATGGCTGCATAGCATTCCATGGTGTATATGTACCACATAATTAGAAACCATTTTACACTGTACGACTGAAAAACATTAAAAAGTTTACCAGACTTTTGGTGAAGGTGGAGTAAAGGCAACTTTCATATATTACTCTGGAAAACAATTTGGATTACCTAGTAAAGTTGAAAATACACATACCATATGGCTCAGCAACATGTGCATCAGTAGATGTACAAAGCTGTTCTTGGAGAATTATTCATAAAAGGAAGAAATTAGAAGCAACCCAAATGTCCAAGGCCAGGAGAATGAAAACATTGTTTGAACATTCATATAATTGAATGTGACTGTAGCAATGAATATGAAGTATAGCCAACTAATCAATCTAAAAAGCAAAGTTGATTGCAATGCATTCATATGTGGCAAAATTATCAAGAAAATCATGGAATAATTAACATGATTTTTTTTTTTTTTTTTTTTTGAGATGGAGTCTCTGTCACCCAGGCTGGAGTGCAACAGCACGATCTCGGCTCACTGCAACCTCCATTTCTCAGGTTCAGGTGATTCTCCCACCTTAGCCTCCAGAGTAGCTGGGACTAAAGGTGCGCGCCAGCACATCCAGCTAATTTTTGTATTTTTAGTAGAGACAGGGTTTCACTATGTTGGCCAGGCTGGTCTTGAACTCCTGACCTTGTGATTCACCCGCCTCGGCCTCCCAAAGTGTTGGGATTACAGGTGTGAGCCACCGTGCCTGGCTTAACGTGAAATTCTTCATGGTGTTCACTTCTGTAACAGAGGAAGGGGATGCAATTGGGAAGAAGCATATAGGGCTTCGTAGGTATTGGGATTTTTCTTTTCTTTCTTATTTTATTTTTTTGGAGGCTGAGTCTTGCTCTGTTGCCCAGACTGGAGTGCAGTGACATGTTCTTGACACACTGCAACCTCTGCCTTGGGATTGAAGCGATTCTCCTCCCTCAGCCTCCTGAGTAGCTGGGATTACAGGCGCCCACCACCACGCACAGCTAGTTTTTATATTTTTAGTAGAGACGGGGTTTCACCATGTTGGCCAAGCTGGTCTCAAACTCCTGGGCTCAAGTGATCCACCTGCTTTGGCAACCCAAAGTGCTGGGATTACAGGTGTGAGCCATGGCACCTGGCCACTATTGGTGATTTTCTATTTCTAAAAGTGAGCAATGGGTACAGGGTTCTCTTATTATTAGTCTTAACTTGTTCTTATATGCCACATACATTCTTTTCTATGTCAGATATATTTCACAATTAAAACTTTAAAAAGCATGCCAGGAACCATGGCTCACAACTGTAACCCCAGCTACTTGGGAGGCTGAAGCTGGAGGAGCTCTTCAGCTCAGGAATTCAAGATCAGCCTGGGCAATGCAGTGAGTCCCCACCTTAAAAAAAAAATTAAAGGCAACCCCCCCCAAACCGTAAACAGTAAACTGAATGCAAATAAATGACTTCATAGCTATTTCTGCTAAACTGAACTTTACTGGTTTTGATTTGCCAGTTCAGTTAGCCAGGATGATTCTGAAGCTTGCTTCCAGCCTCGATTTCATCAGTAACTTCCTTTGATACTCTGCACCATCCACAAATTGTATAGATTAATGTACTTTTTTCGTGTATATTACTGAAAAATTTGTTGTTATTAAGAGTTTAAAAAAAACAAAGTAAGGCTGGGCACGGTGGCTCACACCTATAATCCCAGTACTTGGGAGGCCTAGGGAGGCAGAGCACCTGAGTCTGAGCTCAGGAGTTTGAGACCAGCCTGGGCAATATGGTGAGACTTCATCTGTACCAAAAATACAAAAAATTAGCCAGGTGTGGCGGTGCGTGCCTGTGGTCTCAGCTACTGAGAGGGCTGAGGTGGGAGGATCGCTTGACCTTGGGAGGCAGAGGTTGCACCAAGATCGTGCCATTGCACTCCAGCCTGGGTGACAGTGAGATCCCTGTCTCAGAAAAAAATAAACAAAGTAGCTCAATATTTAAGAACATAGATTCATAATGCCTTAATTTTGAGTATGCCACTTACACTAGCTATGCAATTTATACAGTCAGTTATCCTCTATGTGACCCAGTTTCCTCATCTATAAAATGGGTGTAAGAATATTACTCACCTCACAGATTTATTGGGAGGATTAACTTTGTTTCAATATTTAAAGTGCTTAGTGATTGCAACATAATAAATGTTACCTAATTTTTGCCTAGGATATTTCCTCATCTATAAAATGTGACAGTTTAAAGGAAATTGTCACATTGGTCCTTTCTAGTAATCAAATTTTTGATTCTGTGAGGATATTCTTAATAATTATTGGAAAAGAAAAAAGTATTCTTTTTGAAATCAGATTTAAATAATGTGTCAACATCATTTGGCTTTCAAAAAAATGGAAGTAGAATCTATGTATAGAAAAGTGCACGAATTGAAAATAAACAGATTAGATACCCAAACCCAGATTTCACAGCCACTCATGTCAAGAAACTGAATATTACTAGCACCAAAAATGCTCCCCTCATTACCTGTTTCTATATACTCCCCTGCCATAATTTTACCTGTTTTTGATATAAATGGAGCAGAATATGCATTTTTATTGTGCAATATGGTTCTTTTGCACAATATTAAGGTGTAAGGTATGCCCACACTGCTGTTTTTCAGCAATAGCTCATTTATATCAGAGTATTTCATTAAATGAATAATGAATTTAACTCTATTTATATATTATACTATTGAAGAGCATTTTGAGTTCTTTATATCTTCTGGATATAAGCCCTTTGTCAGTAATATGCATTACAAATATTCTCCCACTCTGTGGTTTGCCTTTTCAATCTGGTAATGGTTTTTTGGATGAAAATAGTCTCTCATTTTAAGAAAAATGAGCAGTGAAAGTATTTGATGAGGAAAGAGAAGTGGGGAAATTAGATGTTTGGGGAGGATGTTTGAAATAATTTTTTCAAAGGAAGGACAGTGAATTTACGAGAGAAACAGTAGGAATACTCAGTAATGTTGATCATCAGAAAATGTGGATCATAAATCTACAGTATAGCCAATATGCCTGGCACATTGGTATGAATTTTCTCTGCTACTTAGAAGGAGGCAGAGAAAAAGTAAATTAATTTTTTCCCCTGGGTGGGGGAGGGTTGTTTGATTCCTGTGACAAAAAAGACCAAGAGGCAAAGAGCTTAGGATATTGGTAAAAGAACTATTGAAATGATGAACCTGGCCAGGCACAGTGGCTCATGCCTATAATCCTAGCACTTTGGGAGACCGAGTGGGAAGATGGCTTGAGACCAGGAGTTCAAGACCAGCCTGGGTATCATAGGGAGACCCTGTCTCTATATAAAAAAATTAGTTGGGCATGGGGGTGTGTACCTGTAGTGCCTGAAAGGCTGAGGTGGGAGCACTGCTTGAGCCCAGGAGTCCCAGGCTACACTGAGCCATGATCATTGCCACTGTGCCCTAGCCTGGGGAACAAAGTGAGACCCCCATCTCAAAAAAAGAAAAAAAAAAAAAAAGAAAGAAAAGAAAAAGAAATGGACCATTAAATTTAAGCTGGGTAAGGAGTAGAAAATAAAGAGCTGATGAATTGGAAAGATAGATGATGAACTGGAATGAGAAAGTAGAGAAAATACTGGACTGAAGAAGCCCAGTAGGGTAGAAGAATGGGAAGAGTAAGAGTAGGGAAAAGAGAGGAGAATGTGCTTAAGTAGAGGAGTAAGTGAGTTTGCTTACTATCTGGGTAACAGGATCCATACCCCAAACCTCAGCATCATGCAATATCCCCATGTAACAAACATGCACATGTACCCTCTGTATCTAAAATAAAAGCTGAAATAAAAAAAAGAAGTAGAGAAGTTATGAATGTTGATGAGGTCCAGAATATAGCAAAGGGAATGGGTATTTGAGGCAGAATTGTATAGAAAGTTATTAGAGATGAAAAAGGAGTGAGGAAGATCAGGGTGTTTGCTCATTCATATAAAAGCTGAACTATCTAGTATGATGGCAAAGACTTTGTATGGCAATGAAGATTGTGAACCAAATATCAAAGTCATCTTTTAGGGGGGAAATAACTTGAGACATCAGGAGGTGGTATAGTTGAGTGGCTTGGATCTAATTGGAAGAGGTTTTCCTAGAGAGTTATGCTAGAGTGTTCTGGAAATGCTAATTGAGAACAAGATGCTCTCTACAACTGTCAACTCTGGATGCATAAGGGTATAAAAATAAAATGAACTGGCAAACAAAAGAGTAGGAAAAGAAATCCCACAAATGCTCACTGAACTATAATCCAGTATTAACAAAGAGTTCACTTGAAGTATTTTACATTTAAACAGTTTTGGAAAAAAAGCTTAAATGACTGAACATACAAAATATTCAGTATTGTTAATATTGTTATATTTTTGAAGTATAATCACTGTATTAATATGTATAGATATTTACAACAGTGTGAATATTTAAGAACATTTAAGAATGTTAAAATTCATTATATTTTCCAATGTCCCTTATACGAAGGTCCCAGAGAGAAGTACCTCCTTTGATTAAATGTCGGGAAAATATTGGTTTCTCCAGATAAAATGTATCCCATTCCTGTATCAGAGAATCAGATAATTTTAATATGCTACCCTTTTGTACATAAGCTATTGGGAAACTGTAAGTTTCCTAATATTTTTCCTAATTAGCAGAGTGCGATATATGATATTTGCTTAATAACTATATTTACTATATGGTTTTAGTACAAATAGCACAGGACTTGGAACCACAGAGATCTGGATCAAAATACCAATTCTGCTATTTACTAGCTCTTGACCTTGGATAATTCTGCTTACTTCTTTGCAAAACAGTGTCTTAAAAATATTTATTTCTCAGTATTATTAGAAGGTTTAAATCAGATAATAAGTATAAAACACTTAGTACTGTGACTGGTACAAGGTAGAAACTCAATAAGGGTAACCATCATTATTTATTTTAGAATATTTAATCTGTATGATACCTTCATTTTTTGAACTGTTGTGAAAACTAAAGTTACATTTTGAAATGACTGGATAAAAAAATCATAATTTTAGTGACAGAAACAATTTTTTAAAATCTAGATTTTTGTAGACAAGTAATGAAGATTCTTAGATTATAGTGTCTGCATTTAGCTTCCCTTCTGCTAATGTGGCTTGTATGCATTCAATTCAAGTAGAGTTTGGGTGATTACTAAGTGCCAGACACTTGTTAGGATCTGGGGATACGGTGATGAATTACACAAATGTCCCTTGTCCTTAAAAACTCATGGTTTAATTGAAGATGACTTTGAATATTAAATTTTAAACTCTCATTATATATCAATATTTATTCATACCTTTGGAAAAACAAGAGTTGTTTGTCTGATTGCCTCCAGACTCCAGTCCTATTTCTCAATAGGCAACTGTTTCCTATTGGCAGGAAAATGTATTGCTTTCTAGTTTATTCCCTCATAGGAGGAAAGAAGTTTTATGAGAGTCAACCAGCTAGTAAGGGCAATGGCATTCTATAGAGAATTAATTTTCAAAAATATTTCAAGGCAATGATACCATTTTTTTGCTCTCATGGCAGATAAAAGCGGAGCTACCACACTTTGGGAAAGGGAATGGGAGAATCAGGTATATCTAATTAATATTAGCTTATAGCAACTCAATTTAACAAACATTTTAAAGAAAAATGCATATAATTACATGTATTCACTTGTTTATAATAATTTAAACAATATTTTTCACTGTGCTTTCTTTGATGGAAAATTTGACTACAATAGTAATGACAGAATAATATGGGACAAGAATCAGATCCTATTCCTTGTCCTTCCTCTTAAACTAACAGGAAAAGTCATGGGAAAAAATGGAGGCTGGCAAAAGTTTCTAATTTCAGTTGAGCACAGGTTGGGTCATTCTCTTAAAAACTTCAGCTACTAATGTCACAATTTTTTTTGTTTGTTTGTTTGAGATGGAGTCTGGCTGTGTCGCCCAGGCTGGAGTGCAGTGGTGCACAATCTCGGCTCACTGCAACCTCCGCCTCCTGGGCTCTAGGTTCAAACGATTCTCCTGCCTCCTCCCATGCAACTGGGATTATAGGCACGCGCCACCATGCCCAGCTAATTTTTGTATTTTTGTAGAGACAGCGTTTCGCCAGGTTGGCCAGGCTGGTCTCGAACTTCCAATCTCAAGTAAATCCACGCACCTTGGCCTCCCAAAGTGCTGGGATTACAGACATGAGCCACTGTGCCTGGCCAAAAATCACACTATTACAGGAGGTAAGTTACTTCTTTTTTTTTTTTGGAGACAGAGTCTTGCTCTGTCATCAGGCTGGAGTGCAGTGGTGCGATCTCGGCTCACTGCAACCTCTGCCTCCCAGGTTCAAGCAATTCTTCCTTTGCCTCCCAAGTAGCTGGGACTATAGGCATGCGCCACCATGCCGGGCTAACTTTTGTATTAGTAGAGATGGGATTTCGCTCTGTTGGCCAGGCTGGTCTTGAACTCCTGGCCTTAAGTGATTCACCCACCTGGGCCTCCCAAAGTGCTGGGATTACAAGTGTAAGCCACTGTGCTCGGCCTGAAGGTAAGTTATTTCTATACAGCTATTGTTCAATACTAATATTTATGTAGTATGTATGTCCATACATAAATAGGAACAATTTCACATGACTTTAACAAAGGTGTTCATTTTATCTATAAAAAGCTATAAATTTATTCTTACCCGTAGCCCTCTTATTTTGATGCAGGACATTATGCCCTCTTTTCCACAAGGGAACCGATTCTTCTTCAGCAGTTCTTGGAGTCACAGATGGATAACTTTCTTCACAAACAGGACTTCTTTGGGTGCAATATAATGTCCCATCTTGCTGGGCAACTGCTTGAGTGCCATTTGAATGATTTATTTTTGCAAAAGCTTGGCACTCTGAAGAACAATATGATGGCAGTGATGGTATCACAGTGACTAGATCAGAACAAGCATTTGAGAGTGGAGAACTACTTTCCTGATTCCACTGATTCAAATTGTGTTCTGTTGGAAGCACATGTTTTGAATTAAAACCGTTATGTGTAATAATGTTTTGAGGATTTTCAGGAGTTACTGATTGACACTGAGACACCTGTATATTTTTACCACTTCTAATATTTGATGTAGATTGGGGAGAAGGACGAGGTATAATTAATTTTCCCTGAGCTTGTGTAAATATGTTGACTTTGCTTGCAGATTGTGGTTCAATGACAGTGCCTTTTCTGTTTGTACATATAAAGCCTGATTGGACTTTTGCAGATCCTGGTTTTCTAATTATTTTTGCTCCACCTCTTTGTGGCTTACCTTGCTTAGTTTTAGAATCATCATGTACAGGGATTTTACTTTCCTCTTTTTTTGAGGCTGGCCAGGCATGTTTAGCAAAATTATAACCTGAAGGTATAAAACAGTTCAAAGGCATATGGTCTGCTCCAGATCCTCCTAAAGTCGTAACATTTTCAGAGATAGAATCCTCCCTGGACTTCTTTCTAGCAGCAGAATTTACAGCACAAGCAGAAACACTAATTATGTTGCTTCCAGCACCACTTTGAATGCGGAATTTTTGAGAATGCTGTTGAGTTATTCCTGTTTTATTCTTCAGTGAATGACTGTCTTCAGCATTGTTTTCTATACTGCTAGTTTCATCAAACCACCTCAGTTTTTTAATAGTCTTTGGAATTTCTGCACCTTTTTCCCTTTCCTTTGTTAATTCAATACTATCTTTGATAGCTGCTGCTTTTTGATTTCCAAACTTAAAGCTCTGATTTATAATTAATGCCTTAAGATAACCATGTTCATATTTAGATTCTTTCTTTAAAATACTTTTAAGAAACCTCACACCATTTCTCTCATGGATGTTGTATTTCATTTTCTTATGCTGGCCAACAAAGTCATAATTAGAAGTTACATTAGACAAGGATGATGTTTCAGCGAATTTTTGTTTTTCATCTTTTGAATCCGGATTGTGAGGTATGTAGGCATCTTGAAAACTGTCTGAAAATAAAGGCAACTCTCCCTTATTGCAGTTAAAATATTTTATCTTTTCTTCTTCACCATCTTTCAATTCATCTAACTTATCAGAACACTGCACTGCATCAATTTCTTTTATGTGTATACTGTTCTTTGCTGAAGGTCTAGCTGACTGTTTATTAGATGGCAAAACTAAAGGCATTGCCACTGGTACACATGAAGTAGGAATTGAAGTAGTTCCATTTTCTTGATTTAATTCAGAATATTTCTCTTGGTCTGGAAATGTAGCCACTTCCTGGGTTGGAGATTCTGAAGTGCTTTGGGATTTGCTAAATTTAAATGTTGGGCTCTCAGTAACTAACGGCCTTTCTCTTTTGAATGCTCCAGAAGTGGAGTCAGTTGTCCTTACAGTGCTAGTTTCAGAGGTCTTTTCACATTTTTTATCTAGTACAAATATAGGTGGGCTAGATACAAAGGCTACTGAATTATTAGCAGTATTTGTGGCTCTTTCCACTGTTCCATTCAAAGAAGATGGATTTTGTTCTTTACTATTAAAATATTCCCATGAAGGTAGAACATTAGATTTACTTAAAATATCTGAGAAAGGTGTGACATTCTGAGTATTTGAAGCATCTACATTTGTAAGCCAATTATTTATATGTTGAGTTTTAGAGAATGCCAGTTTATCTTCATCAAAGCAGCTGAGTTTAGTTGATTGCATACTTGCTGGTTTGAGGGAAATGGTATTCCGCTGGATGGATGTGGAATGCTCCTTATTAAGTGTTAAATATATTTCTTCATGCTCTGTAGGCTCAAGACTGTCTATACTTGAGAGGGTTTCAGAATTGGTTATCTGATTAACTTCATCACAAAATTTCTGGAAAAAAAAGAACACTGTTTTATAGCTTATAAACTGTTAAATGCCAAGATTAATGATTCAACATACCATTGTTACTGAGCCCAAATCTCCTTGCATATAGAGTAATATGACTATAAACATCGTGGGTATATAAATAATTCTTACCGCTGCAGCAATCCTCAAGGTAAAACATAGGGAGGTAACAAAGACTTACAGTATAGTATGCTTGCTTTGATTTCAACTCCTAAAGTAATACCTGCTTATTCTAGCCACAGTTAGAACTTAGAAAATATTTTTGTTATTGCTATTCCATTTAGAGTATGAAGTTTCTTGAAGGCTTGGTAATAGCAAGTGAGATTCTGAAAAATAATTATTTACAAATTGTACTTTTTCCTAAAACATTCACTGGACTTGAATGAGGCTCCTAAAAGCTCTGCGATCCTAATGTGAGCCTCTTGTTAGTAGGGGCTACATCTTTTTACAAAACTTAATTTTGTGGATTCTACTAAGGCTTTTAACTCTGCCTACATGTTAAAATCACATAAAGAACTCTGTAAAATATCTCTACCTGGGTCCTGCTGATTTAACACTTGGATGGGGTCCATATATTGGTATTATTTAAATTCCCCAGGTAATTTTCATATGGGTTTAGACTCAAAAACTATTGACTTTGATGACTCCTTTTGGAGGTTTAGCGTAGCAGTAATTTCCATAAATTCCATAGACATTTTCATCACTATTTCACTGAAATTTACATGAAATTTATCAGTCTTTAATAAAATTTCAAAATTACTTCAATGAATGGTAAATGTTTAAAAATATTTCTATTTTCTCACACATATCTAGAATGCATTAATCTATATCACATATACAGAAATAAATTTTAAGAAGACATTAAATTGTATATCTAGTCAAAATGCTGAATGGAAAGAAAATTGATATCCCTTAAGAGTTATCGTACATTTTAGATTTATCTAAAATATGAAAATTTAAAAAATTTACATACTATGGTATCAGACAAAATTACATTCTTTTTTTAGCCCAGTAAGTAAACTAAGAACTAAAGTAAACAAATTACAGAATAAAAACATTTTAATTTACATAGTTCTTATTGATTTAGTATTATGGAATAAATTTTAAAAATTATTCATGAGAGTTTTATAGTTTTAGCATTTAGTCCCTATTTATCATATCCTTTGGCATACTTCTTAAAGTGATAGTCACTCAACCAAACAGGGAACAAAACAAAGCACAGCTACTTCAATGCCTGTTCTTGGAACTAAGTTGTTTTAACTGATAATGATGATGAAATCAGGCCTGGAAGGCATCCTTTGAGGTTACATCTAGAGAGACACAGAAATTTGCATTAGAAGATCCTTCTAGATATAAGTATGACATCCATGGCTCTAAGATTTCCGTTTGCATAGGTCTGTAATTGCTTCATCTCCCAAATCACTTCAAAAGAAGTTTGGCAATTTCTGATTTCATAAACAATACTTTTTTTTTTTCAGAATTTTTTCCACCATTAAATAATGAAACATGATGATCAACTTCAAGTTTTGCTTATAAGTTACATGAGCGGTCCATCTTATCTTTATTGCCCTGCATGTAACATATCTTTTTTCCCTCTGGCTTTAATCTGATTTTTATGTGCCTTTCTGTGGTATGTGTGTGTGCATACACTTATCCTTCTTAGAGTTTGTTGAGCTTCTTGAGTCTGTGGATTTATAATTTTCATCAAATTTGAAACATTTCCAGTGATGGTTTCTTTAAACATTTCCATTCCCACTTGTGAAATTTTATTTAAATGTTAATTTTAATTAAATGTGTTGATGGCTTTATATGGACTCACAGATCACTAACAATCTGTTCATTTTTTTCCAGCCTTTTTCTCCTAAAGCTTCAGCTTGGATAATTTCTATTGCTATGTTTTCAAGTCCACTAATCTTGTTCTGCAATCACTGCAATGTTAAGCCCATCCAGTCAGTTTTTCATTTCTGACAGTATGTTTTTCAGATCTAGAAGGTCTGTTTATTTCTTTTTTAAACTGTTTTTCTTATGTACATTTTTACTTTAATTCCTTGAAAATATTTATAAAAATATGTTAAAATTCCTTGTTGGTTAATTCCATCATCTCTGTTATTTCTGTCTGATTATACTGACTACTCTTCTCCTGGTTATGGGTCATACTTTCCTGATTCTTCATATGTCTAGTAAGTTTTGATTGAATGCTGACATTGTGAGCATCATGTTATTGAATATTTAGATTTCATAGTCTTCTTTAAGGAAGTGTTGGCCAGGCATGGTGGTTCACACCTGTAATCCCAGCACTTTGGGAGGCTGAGGTGGTCGGATCATGGGGTCCAGAGATTGAGACCATCCTGGCCAATGTGGTGAAACCCCGTCTCTACTAAAAGTACAAAAATTAGCTGGGCGTGGTGGCAGGCACCTGTAGTCCCAGCTACTTGGGAGGCTGAGGCAGGAGAATTGCTTGAACCTGGGAGGCGGAGGTTGCAGTGAGCTGAGATTGCACCACTGCACTCCAGCCTGGTGACAGAGTGGGACTCCGTCTCAAAAAAAAAAAAAAAAAAAAAAAAAAAGAAAAGAAAAACAGAAAAAAGTGTTAAGTTTTTTGTTTAATAGGTAGCTTGGGTTACTAGTGGATCTTTTTAAGGCTTATTCAGGGAAATATACCGACATAGAAAGCCTAGGTGATCATAAGGCTTACGTCATTGCTTCCCCTTTTCAAGATCACATCCTGCACTGCCTCTGGCTCATGTCTAAAAGCTGTTGTTTTATATATTTTATTCATAATCATAGTTGTTTATGGTAGGAAGGCACATCACGATAGCTGCCAGGAATCTTCTGTTTTGCCTTCTTAGCCTTGCCACTGTTGATTAATTGTTGGATGAATCAGGTCAATGTTATGAATTTAATCTTGATATTGGTTTATTAAAAATCTCATAAATGTGTATAATTATTAATGAAAAATAAAGTACGTGGATGGACATGTAGGAAAATCAGCCGATATCTGTATTTAGTTGTGGAAAAAATAACAAAGTATATGCCCTTCTAGGGATAGATTACAAACATCATTTCTAGTGAATTCTGCCATATTTCCATTAAGAAACTAATATCTACATCTTTATACTTTTCTAGTTGCTTTTGTAATACAATCTCTAACAATAATACATTACATTGTACTTTCAAAGGTAAGGAAAAAACTAAAAAATTATTTCTATAGTTTCTATGATGAATTTGTGCTGATTCATCCACATTCTTTCAAGGCCACTCTTAGCCAGTAAGATATTTTTTTAGTGGAGAACATTGCAAAAGTGGAGCAAAATTAGTACAAGGAATTAAAATATTAACAACATTTTTATAGTTTCATACTTGCAAATTGCTTAGATGCTGATCTTCTAGGCGTTTCTGAGTTTCCTCCAGTTTAAGCTGGAACACATTTTTGCTAGTAGCCAAGGTTGCCCTCATATTTTCATTCATTTCTTTATCACAATTGATTCTGGATAAGAGTTGTTTCTGATGTTTGTGATCATTTTTTGATAATGCTGAAGGCAAGGCAGAGTCTATAGCTCTGTGAACCAGACACAGAAAGCGCTTAGTACATTTAAATAAAGTTAACTTCTTTCTATATGTATATACATGACACATTTGTGTAATATGTGTGTGTTTGTCCAGGTAACCACATATAAGGATATTGGAGAAATATATAGACATGTTAGAATGAGAATTTAAGGCAATCAATAGTAGAATAAAAATAGTTGTGAGACTAAAGTGCCAGTAAAGAACTCCACCTTCATATAGGAATGCCCAGTAATTCATGCCTTTGATTATTATAACCTATCCCTCTATCATCTGGGATAAGGGTAGAAGTAATTCCTGTGTAGAGTTAGTCCTCAGGTCTTTAAGAGCATTCCTATATGGATAATAATATACTGCATTACCCTTCTTTCTGAGTTGATGTCATGGCTGGTAGGTTAGGAAAAAACTGTAACCCTAATAGTGTTGGTTGAAGATTCAAGCAGATAGAAAATATAAAAATTGCTTGTCGGGTCGGCAGGAATTTCCTCCCTATTTAACTAGCTTTGGGAACTTGGATCTTCCTCAATGGAGGCCAAGTACTCACTTGTTTTCAGTTATTTCAGGAATATAAATAGGAATATAAGCATGGTTTTTATGCTACAGAAGTGTACCCTTAATATAGAGTCTACTATGCTAAGGGGTCATTCAAACATTTTCAGTGCATGACATCATTTTCTATTAGAATTTTGTATCTTCTGCAAAGCTATAGCATGTTACATTTCAGTACATATACAAAGTGAAAGCAAAGAACTAAAGAAGATTTTTGGGGGAGGATAGGATAGGGATGAGACTATCATATAGCTGAATGCTGCTGCACTGAGGCTGGCAGTATGAATCCCAAGAGCATTTATTCCTAATTCAATTAAATTATTCCCACTTTAATGAGAATAAAAATGTTTTGGAAGGTGACGATGGTCACATGTGATATATACCTATTACCTATCTCCAATATCCATATATATCTTTATTTGGACAGACTGGAGTAGTCAAGGTCAAAGATTACTAGATTCTTAACTATCCCTTTGTGATCACACATTTAATCAGGGAGAGCAAGAAGGTATTTAATACAAGTTCCTGAACTCTCAAAGTTCCTTGAGAGTATGTTTCTGTCTCTTCCTTTTACACTTTCCTACTCTTGCATTAAATCTTTCCCCTTCAGTCGCCCTTCCCAAACAAAATATTGCTATATCTACAAAATATCTAATAAACTCAATTTATTTACCTTTAAAGTTGTCGTCTGTCAACTTTTTCTTCTCTATTCCTTTCTTCTCTACTTCACTTTCTTCTCTTCTCTTCTCTACTTTCTTCCCCCAGTGAGGAGGATTGAAGGGGTGGATAGGAATAAAAGGAGATGGGGAGGTAGAAACAGAAGGAGAGTGAAGAATAGGGGGAAAGGAAGAGGAAATCATAAAGGAAGAAGAAACAGGAGAAATTGGAGAGGGAAAAGCTAAGTAAGTTGGAGGCAAACCTGGAGAGGAAGATGAATGCAAAGGAGAGGAAAAAAGAGGGATAGATGAAGGAGGTAAGGATGGAGAAGTAGAAGAGGAAGTCGAAGAAGAGGAAAGAACAGATGAGGAGGAAGAAAACGGTATACAGGCTGAAGAAAAGGATGTGGAAGTAGAAGGAGATGAAGGCAAAGAAGAAGATGGAGAATGACAGGGAGATGCAAGGGAGAGAACTGAGGCTAGTAGATGATCTGCAAAGGCCTTGGGCTGATTTGACAATGCTGTGGCTTGTGGAACAGATCGCTGGACTGACTGAAAAGAATCCAAGCTAGCAGGATGTGCAGGCAACGGAGTGACATAAGAAAGAGTGCGGACTGGTGGATGAGGGGAGTGACTGGATAAACAGGTAGGCTTCAAAACAGGGAGAGGTTCCAAAGGGGTTGGGGAAACAACCAGTCGAGCTGGAAGGGAACGACGAACAAGGGCAGGCATTAGAGTGGCTGCGGTAGAACGCTGTGCTGGAAGGAAATGTTTGGGTCTGAAAGTTTTGTAAAATAACTTGTTCTGTGAGTCAGGGTCAGGAAGGACTGGAGACCTTTGGGGTGGGTGGGGTAGATGGCCAGGTGGGCAAGAAGGAATTGGTGCTGGTAGATGAGGGAAACTGCTAGAAATGCTGGAAGTAGCCGGGTTTGGAGGATGAGGACGATATTTAATTGGGTAAGACAGTAATGGGACTGGTGCAAAGGTCTTTGGAAGAGTAGAGGGTACAGATGGATGGATAGGCAGTATATGGGGCTGGTGGGTAGGAGAAACAGTTGGGTAGCTAGGAAGAATTTGGAAGTGGTGGGACCGCAATGGGACCCGTGGAGGAGACAGTTGATCAGGTAAGTAGGGGTCAGGTGTGGAGACAGCTGGACAGGCAGGAATGGATCTGCACAGGTGGAAAAGCATTTGGACAGGCAAGTAGAGAGATAGCCTTATTAAGATTTTTTTTTTTTTTTTTTTTTGGTTTATTGGGCTGCCTTTAGGGTTTTGGGTGCTGCTTTTTGTTTTTTTTTTTTTTTTTTTTTTTTTTTGTCCATAGGGTCCATGCATGATCTTCCTTTGATCAATCAGTGTCCTCTCACATGGACTGAAAAATGTACATAGCTTATTCAGGTTCGCCATTTCTTATTTCTGGCTCTTAGAATATTTTCACTTCTCAGAAGCCTTTTACTCATACAGATACAGGAATATGGGCTGGACAATCTGGTTTAAAGCATGAGTTCAAAGGGCAAATAGAGGTCAATAGATAACTGCTCAGCTCTGGCCAGATTTCTCAGTGTAGCACGTAGTTCAGGATCAACTGCCACACCACAAATACATGGATATTGGAGATAGATATCTAGCAGTATCATTTTATTGAAGTTTAACCATTTAATACAGGAGACAATATATCTCCCTTTTACCTTACACCTTCCAGAATGGTCAAGCACATTAGTTTTATGATAAGGATTCGGTGGTGATAGAAGACTAATTACTTCTTATATTTTTAACTTTACTCCCTTATTAATATTTTTATGTCTCACTATTTGCTGAAGCAGCTTCTATGTTCATGAGAACCTATTCTCTGATTTGTCTTGGGGCCTAAGCACTAAATGCCCTGCATTTTATCGTACTTTTTTTTCTCTTTTACATGATCACATCGCCCACATCTTGTTTTTATCTACCACTAACATTTTCCACATTAGAATAATCTTACTGATATACCTCTGCTTCTTTGTAAGCCCCTTATTTCATGGCATTACTTTATTTCTTATCACATTGAGGTTTACGTTCCACTGAAAATGTATTTTTAATATGATAGTAGTTTATCAATGATTTCAGCTTAATCAAATTTTCAATAAATAAAAATATGCCCACTAACCTAACACCTGATTCTTAATATTCCAATATCTCATATTTGTATAGAATTTCATAGTTTACAAAGCACTTTCATATACATTACTTAAGACTATTGGGTATCTGTGGAGAGAAGTCTAACTTTTTAATAAGTAAATCATAGTGGTCTCACTATACATTGTATATACTTGTTTTCCAAATACATAGAATTTGTGTGATACATATATAAACATGCACACATAGATAGATATCATGAAGTCAAAGTCAAAATAGTATATTAAAATAACACGAAAACTAGGTATTCTAATGCACAATGAAGATCATTTCTCATAAAACAAAGATTATGTGTGTTATTTAATGATCCTAGCGTAGACTTGCTGTAATCATATCTACATGTTTGCTACAGGGAAAACAAAGTTGTTCTGACAGTTTAACTCTTCTAAGACTTCAAGCAGCTGCACACTGTCGAACAAGAAAAATGCCTATGCTTTTCTTCATTCTACAAGAGTTTTTCAAAACTGAAAACATCTGGCCGGGCGCGGTGGCTCAGGCCTGTATTCCCAGCACTTTGGGAGGCCGAGGTGGGTGGATCACCAGGTCAAGAAATCGAGACCCTCCTGGCCAAAATGGTAAAACCCAATCTCTACTAAAAATACAAAACTTAGCTGGGTATGGTGGTACGTGCCTGTAATCCCAGCTACTCGGGAGGCTGAGTCAGGAGAATTGCTTGAACCCAGGAGGCAGAGGTTGCAGTGAGCTGAGATTGCACCACTGCACTCCAGCCTGGCGACAGAGTGAGACTAAAATATCCAATTAGCATGAAGTATAACAACTGATAGAAAAAAAAAATTCAGAAGGCTCAAAGGGAATTTTAAAAAGTTAATCACATTCTCTTAATCATCAAGACTCAAAATATCAGTTGCTTTTGATTTTTTTTTTTGCTTTTTTCTATTTCCTTTGTCCTATACCAAACTCATCTATTCTTTTAATGAAGTATCTTTTCTTTCTGCTTCTATTCTGTCTATTCTCCAATTCTGCTTCCTCCTCCTTTTCCTCATCTTCTTGTTCTTTTCTTTTTCCTTCTCCTTCTCCTTTTTCTTTTGAGACAGGATTTTACTCTGTTACCTAGGCTGGAGTGCAGTGGTGTGATCATAGCTCACTGCGACTCCAACTCCTGGGCTCAAGTGATCCTTTTATCTCATCTCCTCGAGTAGCTAGAACTACAGGTGTGTGCCAGCATGCCCAGATAATTTTTACATTGTATGTGTGTGTAGAGATGCTATATTGTCCAGGTTGGTCTTGAACTCCTGCCTTAATCGATTCTCCTTCCTCAGCCTCCCAAAGCACTGAAATTACAGGTATGGGCCACTATGCCCAGCCTATACTTCAATTCTTATACTTCGAGTTGATCAATATCCTTAAACTCTTATTTCTTCATGTTACTTCTCTGCACTGTGAAAGCACATTATCTTCATTCTTTCTTCTCTCTCATACTCTCACTACTCAAAACCTTTTATTATCAGATCCATCCTTTCTTCACTACACAAAATAGCACTGTTATGGTTTAAGCAGTAAGGATCTATCCCTTGGGTTATTCCAATAATTTCCTCTCTGGTCTCCTTGCCTCCAATTTGTCTCTATCTTCTCTATTCTCCAACATTTGCACCATTTATCTTTCTCAAATAATAAAGAGGATGCTACCACTCCCTGCTGAAAAACCTCCATTGGCTCCCCACTGGTTACAGGATAAAGTTCACACTCACTTGCTAGACATACAAACATTTTACATCTGATCACAATCAACATTTCTAGATCATCCCCTGTCCCATCAGCAACACATCCTACAGCTCTGCCACTCTGAATAAGTTCTATTTCCTCGGGGGTCTATGCCTTTCACAACACTGTAGCACTGCACATGCCTAAAACCCAACACATGCTTCTCTGATAAATCTTAACTCATTCTCTAAGACTACCTTCTACCTTCAATGCTGTACTTCTTTATTACTTTGCTAGTATTTCTGTAACAATCCCCATTATGCAGTATTACATGTGTATTATGTTGTAAAGACCAACAAACAGTATTATAATGTAATTGCAAACCCTTGCTAGGCAGAGGACCATATCTCATTCACATGTGTAATCCATGCTAATCAATGTCCAACACAGGATAAGTACTTACTCAAATTCTACTCTACCTTTCTAGACTATAATTCTGTTGCTTATCACTTTAATATTCATATTTAAATATCATAAGATCTCTCTTAAGGGAAAAGCCATATATTGGCCATACATCTCCTCTGGCTATTGTCCTATCACTCTCTAACTTTCACAGTCAAACTAAACTTGTTATCCTTTTTGCTCTCCATTTCTTTTCAACTCATTGCAATTTATTTTCTGCCCCCACCACTGCACTAAAATTGGTCTGACAAAAGTTGCCAGTAACTTCTTTTGTTGTGAAATACAGTGGACACATTGTTTGTATGTTGGATATTCTCTCTTTGCCTCTCCAGATTCATCTGTCACATTTCTCTACTTGACTCTGCTCCAAGAGACTGAATCGTCCCTTGCTCTTTGATTTATGGCTGAGTTTGGCCAGTGGAAGGGACTAGAAGGAGAAACGAGGGTGAGAGAACAAAGTGGTTTTTGATAATTATTCCTCTCACTTCCTCCCTGCTGGGCTTGGTTTAGCAGTAGCTTACATTCCTCTCCCTAAGACCACAGGACCTGTCCAGCCTCCTTCTTCTACAGTCCAGCTCTTTTCAGTTTAGGTCTGTGTTGGTAATATTGACTTTGTGTCAGTTCTGGGGGTGCTTTACCATCCTTTGTTGGTTTTATAGTCCCTTACTTAACCTCTCAGTCACCTCTTTTAAGTGTGCCTCCTGTTTCCTGCCAGGATCCTGACTGACAGATATTATGTGTCTGATTCTTTAGAAGTTATTTGATCTCTGTAAACTATTTTTTTCCCCATGAACATTTATCCTTCCCTAGTTTTCATAGTACTGACCTCTCCTAGTCCTATATGAGTCATTCTAGCCATTCTGTTTGCAAGCATCTCCTTTTTTTTTCCACTTGCTTAAATGTTGCTGTTCTTCAGTGCTCATCACACACATACTCTCCATAGTTGACCATATGCATTACCATGGCTTCAAATGCCTTTAGCCTACGTTTCTCTTGAGCTCTAGGCTATATAATTCCTACATTTAATGAAATATCCCCACCTTTCAATCCATTATCCACAATTGTTCACAATGGATTGGAATAACATGTTTAAAAAGAAAATTTCACCTTATCACTAATTTGTCTAAAATTATTCATTGACTCCTCTTAAACTCTCAAGGTAAAGTTTATATTTCTTGGCATACAGATGCACTTCTCTCTCCAATCTTGTATCTGGCAAAGCCATCTGTATTTTGCATTGTATGATGTACACATGCTCTTACTCCTAGAGTATATCATGGCTTCGATTGCCCTTCGCTTTTGCACAGCTCATCTCTCTGTCTAAAATGCCATCCATTCACTTGTTCCAAATAACTACTATTTTCTTCAAAGCTTTGCTGAAGAATTCTCTGTCCCATGAGGTCTTTCCTGAACTCCAATTAGGATCAAGAGGGTACATTTACTTGTTCTTAGTCCTAATCAAGGGAACTATTGACCACAGATATTCTAAAAATGGAATAACATTATGCACAGGTAAAATATTAACATAATTTGTTGTCTGAATTGTAGATGTTATTTATATAAATGAATTTTATATATTATTGTAATTACTCATTTGGCACTATTCTGTATTTCTGAAGCACGATTTCACTTATCTTTTAGATTATACACTAGGGATTATATTTTACAATAGTATATACTTCTCCATATCCCCTTATAATGCCTGATCTACTTCTTTACACGTAGTAGCGTTAAGAAATGTTGGGAATAAATAAATGGAAGATTCAGGATGTCCGAGGGTACCCACTGGTTGATTGGTCTATCCTATTACTTCTAGATGATTCACTTATGCCATCCTGTAGAAGAACCAGGAGACTCTGTAATCTTTTCAAGACATTCAAGATAGATTTTCAGTGAGGAAAAACCCATTTCTACCATAAAGTTACTCTTTTTACCTAAATTTATTACAATTCAACATAATTTTTCTCTTCTCAGTAAAGATATTACAATTTTAATCAAAATATCAATATCAATATTTAAAGTGTTTTGATATGTTCCACAAAAAATTATTTAACATATATAGTATTTTGTAACACCAAAGACTTTAAGACAACAAATTGGAATTCTGACCTATTCTTGGAGGAATTTACATTCTACTCTACCTCAATTTAAACTGCAAAAATAAAATAATAAATTCTAAAACAGAGGTGAGGAATAGCTGATGAAAAGGCTGACAAGCACAGCAACTGGATGGTTATACAATTATTGTAATAATTGTATACAATAATCATAAATTACTTACCTCCAGTTTATTGTTGGTCTATGGGAAAAGGGAAGGTTTACATCTGATTTTAAGTTGGATTCCTGAATTTGTTTGAGGGCCTCTTCTAATGGAGGAACTGGTTTTCTGAAAACTAAAGAGATAATAAAGACCAAATAGTGCAGAATCACTTTATCTTCAATAGTCTCTTTACATATAATTTAATTGGCTAATGATAAAATATTACTTTAAAACTTTTGTAAAAAGAAAATATTTTCAGAATAGTGTAAATACTTTAAATTTTGACATTCAATTCCCAAAAGAGAATGTGTTACCTCAAAGTTTTCATCACCAATTTTAAGAATATTTATCAGGAAAAAGGAGACTCTGAGAAATGTCCAGGCTCTTCATCCTGGCATGCAAACTCCCCTATATTTGATCTCATAGTGGTATAAATTTCTGACACTATTTATAAATATTCCTATGAAGAAAAGGGGAACATACAAAAACACCAACTAACATTTACTGAGCACTTAAGTTACAGACCTTATTTTTAAGCACTTAATGCACATAAACTATTTAACCCTTGCTATGGCCTATGAGGTATATTTGAATTTTACAACTGAGGAAACTAAAGCATATAGAAGCAAAGTAACTTGCTCAACGTCATACATTATTATGGACACTCATCCATATACTGTCCTGTACAACGTTTAATATAACCGTATGTCCTATATATATCCACTTTCTCAAAGCCTTCCACTGTGCACTTTAGTACTCAACGTACTCTATTTTCCCCTACTTCCCTCTAAATACTGTCTTCTCTTTCTTGTTCAAGTTGAAGCATAGCTGTCTTTTAAGGACATTAATTCTCCTACAACCCCCTCAAATGGAGATATTATTTTCCTCCCATCATAGACCATAAATATACTATACTATCTATACATGGTATCTATAGTGTATCATATAAGACATAGGGTGACTGAATTTCTGGCTTTAGCTCTTTGTGAGTACTTCCAAACTATCTTCCTCTTTTCTCCTTTAAAACACCAATATGTCATCAGACTTTTAAATTATTACAATGTTTGTAATTTATTTAGAATGTTTAAACAAAAACAGTATGTTATTATGTAAGGTTTAGTTCAAACTTGAACTCTAGAGACAATCCATTTCCCTAATCAACTGGTGATTACATGAAGAATGCAAAGCTATAGGATAGTCTGCTGATATTTTGCATCACAAAGGATGCATCTATGAAAGTAATCAATTAATTTAAAAAGTATTTATTGAAGGTTTAAAATAAGGTTTTCTGCTAATTTATAGAGGCACTGTTCTCCTTCTAGCCTCTCTTCCACCACTTTTTGTTTTTTTTGATGGAGTCTTGCTCTATCACTCAGGCTGGAGTGCAGTGGTGAGACCTCAGCTTACTATGACCTTTGCCTACTGGGTTTTTAAGCAATTCTCCTGCCTCAGCCTCCCTAGTAGTTGGGATTACAGGCACCCGCCTCGATGCCTGGCTAACTTTTGTATTTTTATTAGAGATGGGGTTTTACCGTGTTGGCCAGGCTGGTCTCGATCTCCCAACCTCAGGTGGTCCACCCGCCTTGGCCTCCCAAAGTGCTGGGATTACAAGTGTGAGCCACCGTGCTCAGCCTCTTTCACCACAATCAAATTAGTAACTGAATCCTATTGATTATGTCTATTTTTTTATTTTTTTGAGATAAGGTCTGACTCTGTTTCCCAGGCTGGAGTGCAGTGGTGTGATCTTGGCTCACTACAACCTCCACTTCCTGGGCTCAAGTGACCCTCCCACTTCAGCCTCCCGAGTAGCTGGGACTACAGGCATGCACCACCATGCCTGGCTAATTTTTGTATTGTTTGTAGAGACTGAGTTTCATCATGTTGCCCAGGATGGTCTTGAACTCGTGAGCTCTCAAGCCATCCGCCTGCCTTGGCTTCCCAAAGGGCTGGGATTACAGGTATAAGCCATCTCAGCTGGCTGTGATTATATCTCTTGAATATAGTATCTCTGGTTGGGCACAGTAGCTCACGCCTGTAATCCCTGTACTTTGGGAAGCCAAGGAGGGCAGATCACCTGAGGTCAGGAGTTCAAGACCAGCTTTGCCAGCATGGTGAAACCCCATCTCTACTGAAAATACAAAAGGTGACTGGGCATGGTGGAGGGCACCTGTAATCCCACATACTTGGGAGGCTGAGGCAGAAGAATCTCTTGAACCCGGGAGGTGGAGGTTGCAGGGAGCTGAGATTGTACCACTGCATTCCAGTCTAGGTGAGAAGAGCAAGACTCCGTCTCAAAAAAAAAAAAAAAAAAGAAAAAGAAAAAGAAAAAAAAGGATGAATATGGTAACTCTTATCTCTTACACTCAATGCACTGCTTTAATTTAGGAGCTTAACATCTCTTACCATAATTATTTAAATAGTATCCTACTAGTCTACTTACTTTAGTAAGTCTCTTCTTCAATCGATATTCCATCTTGTAACTGTAATTATCTTTCTAACAAATCTAATGATATAACAGAGACCCCAAGTTCCCCACCTAATATGCATTTTCTCTTTTTTCCTTATAGACCCTATATAGTTAGGGGTAGCAATATACCCACATTAAAAAAACTATTTTTCAGACTCCCTTACAGACCCTATATAGTTAGGGGTAGCAATATACTTACATTAAAAAAACTATTTTTTTCAGACTCCCTTGCAAATAAAGTTGCCAAGCAGAGATCTCAGAGGTGCACCCTTTTTTCCTGTCCTTTCTTCTTGCCTAGAACACTGCTATGATGGTTGAGCTCTGGCAGCTACCATGTGACCACGACAGTGAGAATAAAAACCATATACTAAAGACTGTTGAGCCGAGTGACAGATGATCCTTCTGTCTCTCATCTCAGTATAATCAACAAACCAGCTCGTGACTGCCTACCACAGGACTCCATATTATACGGGAGAAAAATAAACTCCTATCATGTTGAAGCTATTGTTATTTTGCACAGTTTTACTAGCTGCCCTTATTAACAGTAATATTACTAACACAGCAATGGCTTGCTTTCTTGTTAAAAAAAACTGCAAGTGGACTGTATTTTGCATAAAGATGAAATTCCTGGCATGGCAATATAAAGTTCTATGAGAACAGGCTACCTTTATTTTTTCTAGCTTCATATCCATTTTCTTCTTTTTTTCTCCATCCTATGCTTCAGATACACTGAAATACATAATTTATTTGTACAAGCTGTTCTTTTGCCTGCGATGTCCTTTTATTTTCTGTTTGCTTCGCAATATGCTCATTTGTTAAGATCTGACTTAAGTCATTTTTCCAAGAATGATGTCCTTGAGGTCCTGACATAGGTTTAGTGTTCTTTCCTCTGTGCTCTCATAGCACTTTACACACTCTGCTACCATAGCAATTATCATTACATTATTGACATTGCTTATACCACTCTCATCTCCAAAATAGGTTGTGAGATCTTTAATGGTAGAAGGCAATTAGATTTTTCTATATCTCAGCTTAGCCTAAGGCTAAGTACAACACAGTACACCATATGTTTGCTGAATACATAAAGGTTCTGCTTATCACTTTTCTTTATGAAGCTTTGACATATTGTTAATTGTCTTACTATTTAAGGTACTAAAATGTAGATATAATACAAAAGAACCAACCATAATCTTATTTAAATTCTTAAATGGTTCCAAGTCTTTATCTTGTTGGATTATATTACTCTGTAGAATTTCTTTTTGTTCTGCCAGTCTCTCAAATATGAATTTGAACCAAACCATTAAAAAATACTAGACTAAATGTGACACTAATTTTCTGAACCCAAACGTTAAATTTTCTTTGTACTAAGCTACTTACCAAATCAATTTTAAAAGACAAAACATTGTAACCAGTTGGAAGTCAATTCAAACCGTGAGTTTCATAATTTAGTAATAGAGCCAACAGTATTCTCTGAATTAAACCTGAATCAAATGACTATTTTTCATTTGGTTAAAGTGCTTTTACTCAAAAGTCATATGGGTCATTTTAGTTTGTTTTCACTTCATTTCTTCATTTATGAGTTTATTGTCTACCCAAGTCAAATGAGATTAAAACTTCAATTTTTGTTCTCATATTGTTCTAGAAATTAAGGCACCTGCTTTCCTCCGCTGTGAAAGAGGAATATGGGCACGCTGGAATTTTTCAGTAACTTCTTCAAACCTCTGCTTTCTTTGTTGAAGTATTTGTTCTCTAATTTGGTGTTCTTTTTCTTCTTGTTCTTTTCGTTTTTCCTCAAAAGCTCTATATTTAAAACACAAAGTAGGCAACAGAAATAGGTGGTAAGTTTAGAAAATAATTTCAAAATGATGCATTTATTATATAACAATGTTTTCATATTTCAAAATTTTACTTAAAAACAACACATTTAAAATTTTTTAAAACAGGTGTTTGCCAAAGACTTATTTCTTTGTAAATGGTAATTTCAGAACTTTATCCAGGTCTCTTTCAACTAAGAGAAGATTCTCTAATGCGTCCCTTTCTAATTTCTGACAGGTCTGCATACTTATTCCCACTCGCAAATTGTCCGGTGGAAAAAACCTTTTCTAAGGAAGCTATGCCATTTTCTGTAATGTGAAGAATGAATTCATTAGTGAAAGAAGTAGCTTTGAAAATTACGAGGCATTCAATAAAATCTGTACATTTTTATTTTTCTTTTGGCCCACAAGTTTAAAATTGGCTGTCATTTTAAGTTGGAACTGTGCTAAAAATTCAGGAAATTTACATAAAAATGTGAATTTCCAGTTTCTCTTCAAAATTTGGAAGATCTGGCAAATCTGGATTCTTAATCACACATAGCTCCAAACACCTGCCCCAATCCCTGCCATTCCCTATTTTTGTTAACTTTCTTATTTCATTTATTTCTGATTGCCCCCAGACACTTGAAATTTATGTTCTCTAGTTTAAGCTGTACTGTCTCAAAAATTGATTTTGTCCTTGGAAGACTCTGTGTGTGTGTGTGTGTGTGTGTGTGTGTGTGTTCGCGCATGTATGTGTGTATGATTCAATAATTATTTGCTGGGAAAAAAAAAAAAAAGATGAGCCTACAAATCACTGGTAGAGAAACCTCCAAAGGGAACTCCTTAGAATGCATGGGGTTAGGAGACGGTTGGTAAGAACTCTTTTAGAATTTTTAGTGCCATAGGTTACTATTAACCATCTTTCTAAAGACCTCTCCTGGCTAGAACATTATTCTACTCTAAATAGCTACGATTAAGGGAACTATATATACTTTCGGGTGATAGAGGACTATAGATCTCCAAGTGGTCCAACATATGAGATAGGTAGAATGTAGTGATGTAGCACCAGAGGTGGGGGAGAAGATTTTTAGCTCCCAAAACAATCTCTTTCAAGAATCTCCCCAGGTCAAGACAAGAAGTTGCTTTTACCATTTGATTCAACATAATATTAGAAGTTGTAGCCAGAGCAAGTAGGCAAGAAAAAAAAAGAGGCATCCGGACTAGAAAGGAAAAAGTAAAATTAACTCTAGTCCAGATGACATAATCTTATACTTAGAAAACCCTAAAGATTCCACCTAAAACCATCACTAATAAATGAATTCAGCAAAGTTGCAGGATACAAAATCAACACATATAAACCAGTTGCATTTCTATACACTTAACAATGAACAATCCAGAAAGGAAATAAACAATCTCAATTTACAATAGCACAGAAATGCTTAGGAATAAACTTAACCAAGGAGGCAAAAGACTTATACACCAAAAACTGTAAAATATCACTGAAATAATTTTAAAAAGATGCAAATAAATGTAAAGACCTACCATGCTCATGAATTCAAAGAAGACATCGTTAAGAAGACAACACTACTCAAAGCTACCTTCAATCTATTCAATCCCTCAAATCCCAATGACTTTTTTTTTTCTTTGCAGAAATAGAAAAATCCACTTTAAAATTTACATACAATATCAAGGAACCCTGAATAGCCAAAATAATATTGAAAAAAAAAAACAAAACAAAACCCAAAACGGAATGTTTCCCCCTTCCTGATTTCAAAACTTACTACAAATTTATGGTAATCAAAGCAGTGTGGTACTGGCATAAAGATGGACACACAGACTAATGGAATGAATAGAGAGTCCATAAATAAACCCTCTTATATACAGTCAAATGATTTTCCACAAGGATGCCAAAACCATCTAATGAGAAAAGGACAATCTTTATAGAAAATGGTGTTGGATATCTGGATACTGCAAAACAATATAGCTGGACTCTTACCTTACAGCACATATAAAAATTACCCCAAAGTGGATCAAATATCCAAATATAAGAACTAAAAACTCAGAAGAGAACATACAGAAAAAGCTTCATGACATTGGGTTTGACAATAATTTCTTGATATCGCACTAAAAGCACAAACAAAAGGAAAAATAGATAAGTTGAACTTCATCAAAATTAAAAACTTTTGTGGATCCAAGGACACTATCGACAGAGTAAAATGGCCACACAGGAAATAAGAGAAAATATTTCCTATTACATATCCAATAAGGATTGATATCAAGAACTTCAACAACTCAACAACAACAAAACAACCTGTTTTAAAAATATGGGCAAAAGACTTGAATAGAAATTTCTCTAAAGAAGATATACGGGGCGGAGCAAGATGGCCGAATAGGAACAGCTCCAGTCTCCAACTCCCAGCGCGAGCGACACAGAAGACCGGTGATTTCTGCATTTTCAACTGAGGTACTGGGTTCATCTCACTGGGGAGTGCCAGACGATCGGTGCTGGTCAGCTGCTGCAGCCCGACCAGCGAGAGCTGAAGCAGGGCGAGGCATTGCCTCACCTGGAAAGCGCAAGGGGGAAGGGAATCCCTTTTCCTAGCCAGGGGAACTGAGACACACAACACCTGGAAAATTGGGTAACTCCCACCCCAATACTGCGCTTTAAGCAAACCGGCACACCAGGAGATCATATCCCACACCTGGCCGGGAGGGTCCCACACCCACGGAGCCTCCCTCATTGCTAGCACAGCAGTCTGTGATCTACCGGCAAGGCAGCAGCGAGGCTGGGGGAGGGGCGCCCGCCATTGCTGAGGCTTAAGTAGGTAAACAAAGCTGCTGGGAAGCTCGAACTGGGTGGAGCTCACAGCAGCTCAAGGAAACCTGCCTGTCTCTGTAGACTCCACCTCTGGGGACAGGGCACAGTAAACAATAACAAACGCAGCAGAAAGCTCTGCAGACGCAAACGACTCTGTCTGACAGCTTTGAAGAGAGCAGTGGATCTCCCAACACGGAGGTTGAGATCTGAGAAGGGACAGACTCCCTGCTCAAGTGGGTCCCTGACCCCTGAGTAGCCTAACTGGGAGACATCCCCCACTAGGGGCAGTCTGACACCCCACACCTCACAGGGTGGAGTACACCCGAGAGGAAGCTTCCAAAGCAAGAATCAGACAGGTACACTCGCTGTTCAGAAATATACTATCTTCTGCAGCCTCTGCTGCTGATACCCAGGCAAACAGGGTCTGGAGTGGACCTCAAGCAATCTCCTACAGCTATAACCTACAGCTGAGGATCCTGACTGTTAGAAGGAAAGCTATCAAACAGGAAGGACACCTACACCAAAACCCCATCAGTACATCACCATCATCAAAGACCAGAGGCAGATAAAACCACAAAGATGGGGAAAAAGCAGGGCAGAAAAGCTGGAAATTCAAAAAATAAGAGCGCATCTCCCCCGGCAAAGGAGCGCAGCTCATCGCCAGCAACGGATCAAAGCTGGACGGAGAATGACTTCGATGAGATGAGAGAAGAAGGCTTCAGTCCATCAAATTTCTCAGAGCTAAAGGAGGAATTACGTACCCAGCGCAAAGAAACTAAAAATCTTGAAAAAAAAGTGGAAGAATTGATGGCTAGAGTAATTAATGCAGAGAAGCTCACAAACGAAATGAAAGAGACGAAAACCATGGCACGAGAAATACGTGACATATGCACAAGCTTCAGTAACCGACTCGATCAACTGGAAGAAAGAATGAGGATCAAATGAATGAAATGAAGCGAGAAGAGAAACCAAAAGAAAAAAGAAGAAAAAGAAATGAACAAAGCCTGCAAGAAGTATGGGATTATGTAAAAAGACCAAATCTACGTCTGATTGGGGTACCTGAAAGTGAGGGGGAAAATGGAACCAAGTTGGAAAACACTCTTCAGGATATCATCCAGGAGAACTTCCCCAACCTAGTAGGGCAGGCCAACATTCAAATCCAGGAAATACAGAGAACGCCACAAAGATACTCCTCGAGAAGAGCAACTCCAAGACACATAATTGCCAGATTCACCAAAGTTGAAATGAAGGAAAAAATCTTAAGGGCAGCCAGAGAGAAAGGTCGGGTTACCCACAAAGGGAAGCCCATCAGACTAACAGCAGATCTCTCGGCAGAAACTCTTCAAGCCAGAAGAGAGTGGGGGCCAATATTCAACATTCTTAAAGAAAAGAATTTTAAACCCAGAATTTTATATCCAGCCAAACTAAGTTTCATAAGTGAAGGAGAAATAAAATCCTTTACAGATAAGCAAATGCTTAGAGATTTTGTCACCACTAGGCCTGCCTTACAAGAGACCCTGAAGGAAGCACTAAACATGGAAAGGAACAACCGATACCAGCCTTGCAAAAACATGCCAAAATGTAAAGACCATCAAGGCTAGGAAGAAACTGCATCAACTAACGAGCAAAATAACCAGTTAATATCATAATGGCAGGATCAAGTTCACACATAACAATCTTAACCTTAAATGTAAATGGACTAAATGCTCCAATTAAAAGACACAGACTGGCAAACTGGATAAAGAGTCAAGACCCATCAGTCTGCTGTATTCAGGAGACCCATCTCACACGCAGAGACATACACAGGCTCAAAATAAAGGGATGGAGGAAGATTTACCAAGCAAATGGAGAACAAAAAAAAGCGGGGGTTGCAATACTAGTCTCTGATAAAACAGACTTTAAACCATCAAAGATCAAAAGAGACAAAGAAGGCCATTACATAATGGTAAAGGGATCAATTCAACAGGAAGAGCTAACTATCCTAAATATATATGCACCCAATACAGGAGCACCCAGATTCATAAAGCAAGTCCTTAGAGACTTACAAAGAGACTTAGACTCCCATACAATAATAATGGGAGACTTCAACACTCCACTGTCAACATTAGACAGATCAACGAGACAGAAAGTTAACAAGGATATCCAGGAATTGAACTCATCTCTGCAGCAAGCAGACCTAATAGACA